CCCTGGCAGTGCCCACTCTTGCTTCCCGCCTGGGCAGCTCAGCAGGAGGTCAGACCTCTGTTGCCATGATGCCGGCTTGATCCGCGGAAAGGATGCCCCTCTCCTCTGCAGCATCTCTTTGGAAAGATCAAGCGTTTTTGTTCAAGTGCTGGATTTGCCCTGGGAATGAATCCAGAGTCTGTGCCCATGCAATGGACATGTCCCGGTGCGACTGAGTCTGGCACTTGCAGTGGCCGCATGCCTGTCTGCAGGGTGTCGGGGGAGGGGGGGGGGTCTCTCAGTGCTTCAGGAGCCGGCATGGGATCTCCATGATTGATCCTGCACCCATTTCCAAGGGGCTGTGCCCAGCAGAGCCGCCCTGGTGCTGGGTTTGCTGGGCTAGTGGATGTGATGTAGCCCGAGGCTGGTCCGTTGGTGCTCAGGACCAGGTAAAGCTGGATGCTGCCAGCGCCCCTCCCTGTTGACTGTTTCAGTTCCTACCCGTCATGCAGAGAGCAGAAGCACATGCATGCACATGTGTGTGTGCATGTGCACGTGTGCGCGCGCATATGTGTGTGTGTGTGTACCGTTGCCCCCTGCTAGCAGACACTGATGTGACGTTCCAGCAGCGCCGGCTGGCAAGCAAAGGGCCGTGGGGAGAGAGCCGGGCCGTGCATCTACCACCTGGGTTGGGAACTGCCCTGAGCGCGGGCACTGATGTCTCCCTTCCTGCCTCGGGGAGGTTTTCGGAGGCTCCCCACAGCAAGACCAGGTCCCCGTGGCACAAACTTCCAGCTGCAGGCCTTGAACTCGGTGCTGCGTATCTGGGTTGACATGGGGCATAGGGGTGACCGGACCACAGTGGGCAGGGCTCCTCGACGTGGCTAATAAAGCCCATGGGCTGATTGCCCAGCCCTGTCGGTACGTGCCAGCGTCACTGGTGGGTGCACAGCCTCTGTGCCCGGCTGCCTTGTGCTGGGGGGCCGTGGAGGTCTCGAATCGGCTCCTGGCTCTGCTGTGACCCTCATGCAACTCCCTGCCCACGTGCCTCAGTTTCTCTGTGGCCATTTCGAAGGGGCAGTGAGTTGTTGTGAGAGTGGCGATGGCGGGGGGGCATGGCTCCCATGAGCCCCCCCCCATGGCTGGGAGCCCTCCAACAGCTCTCTGCAACCCTTGGCTGCGCTGGCAGCTGCCCTGCACATCTGCATGGGCTGGTGGCGGGCATTCAAAGGGGCTCTGTGTGGCCAGCTGGGCTTGGGCCAGGCGAGGGGGGTGCGGGGAGGATCTCCACCGTGCCCAGCGAGTCTGACAGTCTTTTGTGCTTGCAGAGCCTGGAGGGGGACCACGCCGTTCTCCAGAGGATCAGGAAGTACGTGAAAGCGATCCACGGCTCCGGGCTCAGTAAGTTATGCTGCCAGATGCTTCGGCAGGCCCCGTGATGGAGGGAAGCCTGTATCGCTGATACCCCTGTATCGCTGCCCCTAACCCTACCTGACCGGGGGGAGGGATGGGCCTTTCACCTGGTGCCCTGAGCTCTGCTCACCTTCCTCTTAATTCCCCAATTCATCGCACTTTTATTATTAGCATCCATCTGCCGTGCGGGTCTCCGCCACGCTGATGGCAGGAGGGGGCCTAGCTGAGGCCAGGGGAGTTCCCAGGTCATTTGCTGCAAGCAGATGGAGCTGAAGCCCAGGCAGTGGACTTGTGGGGCATGCAAGGGGCAGGATCGGGGTGGGGCTGACCCAGGAAGCAGGCCCAGACTTTGGGGCTGGAAGGGGTCCGGCCAGGTCCCCAGCAGCCGTCAGAGCAACCCGGTGCAGCAAGGCCTTGGAGAAGGGAGGGACCTGCTAGGAGGGCAGCTGGGCTCAGGGCAGCAGTGATGCACTTTGGACCGTGACGCTGGTGATTGCTGCGCTGAGCAGCTCTGGATTTCCCTGCGCCGCGCTGGCTCGTCCCTGCCCGGTTCCTGCTGCTGGCAGATCCCCTCCCAAGCAAACCCGTGCCCTGCCCCGGGCTCTTCCAGCTGCGCGCTCTCCAGGGAGGGATCGTCGGCTTCCCTCTCCATCCCCCCTGGTCTGCCTCTAAGGACCAGGCCAGCAGCAGCAATTCACTGGGGCTCCTGCGAAAGGTCCCATGCGGGCAGCTGGCACTTGCATGCTTTTGAAAGACATGGACGAGCCCGGGCCCCTCAAGCACCCGTCCTAACCACTGAGCCGCCCGTCCTTTCCCCCCTGGTTGATGTGAGCGGTGTGGCCCTTCTCCCGGCATGGGGGCTATTAGGGGGGTCAGGGCTGGCGTGGACTGCAAGCAACGCCCTATTCCTTTAAATAGGCCTGTAGTCCCACGTGCGAGTCCACCGCGGTGGGAGGGCCGGCGGGGTCGCCGCTCGGAGTCGTCGCGGCCTTCACAATCGACGAGCCAAGAGCGATTTCAGCAAGGGCAAGAAGTGGCCACGCAGTGCACGCGGGGAGGGGACGGGCAGCACGGTGGGAGCGGAGAGCAGAGCAGCAGACAGGGCAGGGAGCGGAAAGCAGAGCAGCTGATTGGGCAGGGAGTGCAGGGCAGGGAGCAGAAAGCAGAGCCGCTGATTGGGCAGAGGAAGGGGGTCTTGAAAGGGTGCATGTCCTGTCCCCCGCAGCGCACGTGGAGAACGAGGAGCAGTACAGCGAGGCCCTGGAAAACTTCGGCAGCAACCACCTGGCCCAGAACAACCACGAGCTCTCCACGGGCTTCCTGAACCTGGCCGTGTTCACCCGGGAGGTGACGGCGCTCTTCAAGAACCTGGTGAGCGTGCGGTGGGCGCAGGCCGGACCCCCACCCCTCTGCCTCTTGCAGGTGGCCCGTCGCCACTCCCCGTGGCCTTCCTAGGAGCCTGCAGGGAAGGGGGGCGGTGGGGCCGGGGTCACCTCGAGAAGGGGGTAGGAGCAGGCACGGCTGCCTCTTTTGCAGTGTCCCTCCCCACGTCCCCTTTGGTTCCGGTGCATCCGTCCAGGCCTGTCGGGGTGGGATCCCCTGCAGCAAACCCATTGCCTGTCGTCTCCCCTTGCCCGGGCATGCCCCAGGTGCGTGCAGCAACCCGCGTGTGCACTTCTCTGCGTAGGGAGAGCGTGTGCGCGCCGTTGTCCGGTGACACGTGTGCTCAGGCACAGGTCGGCAGCTCTTGGGCCTGCCTAGAAAGTGGGGGCTGCTGGAGCAGTGTTGCACGACCCCGGGCTCTGCTTGCTGTCACCTTCCCTCTGCCTGACCCAGCTGAGCCCGGAAGTCCCCTCCCGTTACCGGCTCGAAAGCTTTCGGGGTCCAGCCACCTGCCAGCCTCCCGTGCGTGGTCAGGGGAGACCTCCCAGCCCATGTGGAGAGCCACAAAGACCACAGTCGACGGCTGGGGCTGCTCCCTTGCTTGCTAAATTGAGCGGGTCTCCGTCACAGCGGAGCCCACCAGAGCAGCTCCAGGCCGAGCAGCGCATCTCCTCAAAGCGCGCCTGCCTCGGCCGGCTGCAGAAGAGCCAGTGCAATACGGGCATCTCCCTTTCGCTCTCCGCTGGGGGCTTGTTTCTGCCACACGGTGCGTGCGTGTCCCCCGTCCTTGGGTCTCTGACCTCGTTGGCCAAGAAGTGGATTGAAGCCCTGCGGAGACGTACCCAGCAAGGCCCCCTTGAAGGGGCAGGGCATGGTGGGGGGCACGTGACAGAGCGGCAGCCCGATGCAAGCCCAGGAGCGAGCATTTCCTTGGCATCTCTTGTTTGAAAGCAGCAGGGCACTGCTCGAGGGGCCGAATGAACCTGAGCGCTGGTTCCCTGGAGGCATTTGGGTCATTGCGGTATAGGAGGAGGGTGCTGAGAAGGGGCCTGGGAGCAAGAGCCCTCGCACTGGGGCCTTGGAGACTGCCAAGCCCTTGGGAACCATCAACCCTAAAGCCCTTGGGCATGTCATCCAGCAGCCCGTGCAGCCCCGGGTCGAGCGGGTATTGCTCTGGGCGCAGGGGGCAGATCAGCAATGTTTGACCCGGGTCCGCTCCGGTAGCTCCTCCTTGTTCTCTCCGTGTCACCCCAAGGAAATTCCCAGCCCCGAGCTCTCTGGAGCCGTCTGCGAAAAGGAGTCGAGCCAGTTCCTCCGGTTCCCGCAGGTCTCCCCGTTCACGCACATGCCTGTACGTGCCCTGCACACGCCCTGGTGCAGCTGTCGGTGTGCACGCACGGCAGGGGCGTGAACCCTGCAGACAGTGGAAACCTTTTCATTGCTTCTCCCCCGAGGGCGGCTTCTGCGGGCAGGGTTTTTTGGCCCGCTTTGTGAACGGGTGCCTGATGAGGGCAAGGGCTGGATGCAGGTTGCTCCCGGTACTCGCAGGGGACGTCCGTCCCAGCTGTACTCCTCTGTCAGGGCTCGGCAGCTGCTCGCTCTCGTGGTCCATTGCAGGAGGCCGCGGTGGCACGGGCACTTCAGGAGCACGCGGCCCACCTAGACGGTGCGTCCGGCCCCTTCTGCAGCCTCCGGGGCAGCCTCCTGGCTCCAGTGACCGCAGCGATTCGAAATGGCTCTCGTCCCGTCCTGCCTGGCCACCCAGGGGGGAAACCCAGAGCGGGGCCAGCTGTTCTGCCTCCGTGTGCCAGCTGCTTGGGGCAGAGCTGCCAATGCGGGCAGGGAGCCGGGGGTTCCTCCCGTGGGGCAGGGATGCCGGGACACCCTTGCAAGCACCCGCATCCCTTTGCAGGAGGAAAGGACGGGGGGATTGCTGGTGGGGGCCGGGATGGGGACACCTGGGCTGTGCCAGGCTCCCCTGGTCCCTTCTGTACCGGGCTGGGACTCCCCGTCTGCACCCGCCTGGACCCCCCCGCGATGATCTTCCCAGCCAGGGTCAAGGGTTGGGGTGGAGGAGGGGGAAGGGGCAGCTTAAGGCCTGAGCCCAGGGAGTGGTGGCATTGCCAGGGCTACAAGCAGGGGTTTGGAAGCGCTGCCCTGCAAAGGGTTAAGTGTGTGTGCACCAGGCTAGCTCTGGCCACCCAGGGGGGCTGGCCTGGGTTCAATCCCCTCAGGCAAGGGGGGGCTGACCATGTGCAGGACCGAGCTCGCTCGCGCCCGTGCTGGCGTGGCCGGGCCACAAACCGCATCAGTGCTTGGCCTGCTCAAGCCCTGCTCTGTTCCCGCGGTCGAAAGCAAGTCTCCGGCACCGGAGCGTGCTACAAAGAGACTCGTGAGATCGAGAGCAGCTGGGAGAGCTGCTCCGGGTTAGGTTTCATCTATCCCAGGGCCTCCTAGCCTCCTTGGGCCCCTGCGAAGGCCCACGGGGCAGGGCACGCGGCAGAACAGCAGCCTGATAAAAGCCCAGGAGCGAGCGTTTCCTTGGCGTCTCAGGGCACCGCTCAAGCGGCCAAATGAGCCTGAGAGCTGGTTCCCGGGAGGCATTTGGGGGCTGCACGCGGCCCATGGCCTTCCCCCCAGCTCGAGTTCCCCCATCAGCTCCCTTGTTGACCAGCTGGTCCTGACCGCCGGCGCACACGAGGATGCCTAGCGCGAGGAAACCCAGTGTCTCGGGGTGGAGCCGTGCTGGGTGGCACGAGGGGCTAGGGGCTGCCTCTGCCACGGGTAACCAGCCCTGGTACCCGGCTTTTCTAGGTGCAGAACCTGAACAACATCATCTCCTTCCCCCTGGACAGTCTGCTGAAGGGGCAGCTGAAGGACGGCCGGCTGGTGAGTGGGCAGCAAGCTCGCTGTGGGGCTTGGAGGGTGGAGGGGGTCTGACTTCCACATGGTCCCGTCTCCATCCCGGCGTGAGCCCTGTGTCTCGGAGGGTCTCCCTCTTCATTGCTAGCAGCAAACGCACGCGCCAGCGTGCCACCGCCCAGCCTCTCCCCCGAGGCTGTGAATCCCAGCCAGGACGTGTACCCGCCGCGCTGTGCCATTGCCCAGGAAAGCGGCACACAGCGCTTTAAGCTACAGGGGCTCTCCCAGGCCAGACTCTGCACTGTTAGGTGTATCATCTGCATGGCAGCAGTGCCTGGAGGTCCTGCTTCAGCTCCAGGCCCCGCTGTGCTAGGCGCTGTACAGAGCGGGAGAAAGGCAACCCCTCCCCCAAAGGCCGGTGGAGAAGACAAACAGGAAAGGCTGATGCCCATTTTATAGAGTGGGAAACTGAGGCACAAGAGCCACTAAGTGATGTGCCCACAAAGGGAGGCATCCATGGCGGAGCAGTGCTGGGCTTCGGTCCAGGGACCCGCAGGCAGCAAGGGGGCTTGTCCTTTGCCCTCTGCCCAGCTGCCGCAAGCTCCTGGGCGAGAGCAAGCCCTGCACAGCGGGGTCAAGCCAGTCACCGGGGCCGGCCCAGGGCTCCTATGGGAAGGGCAGATCCGAGCCATGCCCAGAGCCCGCGACAGGCAGAGCCGACGGCTCACGGCGGCCGCTCTCTCTGCCCCGCAGGACTCCAAGAAGCAGATCGAGCGCGCCTGGAAGGATTACGAGACCAAAGTGTAAGTCGCCTGCGGGCGCTAATCCCCCTCTCCCAAACAACAGGGCTTTGTGTGGGGGCTCCCGCCTGCCCGCTGGCATCCCGGCTGCACCTAGGACTGTGCCCCGGTCCGCGGGGCCCCACAGCGGTGCTGGGGAAGCACTAATAGGACACTGGGGTGCCCTGCTGCCCTGCTCTAGGACGGAGGGAGGGTTCAGCTGTTCCCACTTAGCTGTTCCTAGGTTTTAGCATTGCTGGAGGCCGGCCTCTCCCAGGCCCTGGGGCTGGAGCCGTTCTCAACAGCACCCCCGGCCGGCCTGTCTCCCCAGAGCAAAGCTGGAGAAGGAGAAGGAGCGAACGCGGATCGCGGGCGTCATCCAGGCAGAGCTGTCGGCCACGGAGATCACCGAGGACACGCAGAAGGAGCGCCGCCTGTTCCAGCTGCACATGTGCGAGGTGCGTGTCCCGGCTCCAGCCCAGGGTCCCCCAACCATCCCCTCCCCACCAGGAAGGGACGGAGCCAGCAAAGGCAGGCGGAGGCAGAGAGGGAGACATGCCCAAGGTCCTATGGAGAATCTGTGTCAGAGCCAGCTATCGAACTTGCATCTCAAAGCCTGCAAGGCACGGCCAGCCTTCCTGACCCCTCTCTAGGGCTCGGCCAGCTGAAGTCCGGCCCTGCCTGACTTGATGTAGCTGCCATGCAAAGCTTGGCTGCAGCCGAGCCAATACATCATGCCCCAGGCTTTGAGCTAAGCCTCCCTGAGACAGGCTAGTAGCCACTTGCATCCAAGAGGCGCTATGACTGTGAGCACCTGCGCAGGACTAGCCGTGCGTAGCAGCGCTGCTTGCACAGTTCAAGGGGCCACGATAAGCACACGTGTGCCATGGGGCAGGCGGATCTGTGTCTCCTCTTCCTTCTTGCTCCACTCACCCCATTAGAAGAAGCCTGTAGGGCTGCAGGGAGCCCTTCTCCACCCAGGGGAGCCCCATTCAGAGCCACTGCTTGACGCATGCTGGAGGGGACCCCCCAGTGACACGGCACCGAGCCCTTGGCAGGCTGGAGGTGCCCGTAGCCTGGGCTGGCGTGCAGGGGAGGCCTGGCTGAGTTGCTCGGAGCCGGGCAGGGAGGAGGAGGGTTAAGGCATAGTGGAGCCGACAGCCGCTTTGCAGCCTTGTTGTGGTTTGGGGCTCCGGCCGGGAGCCAGGCAGTGAGTCATGCCTTTGAATAGCTTCACTGTTAAATAAATAACAGCACATGGAAGCACTCGGCGCAGCGCCGGGGAGGGGCCCTGCGCGCTGCAAGCAGAGCGGAGAGGTGTGGACAGGACCTTGCAGTCTCTTCCAGGCCCCGGTCCGGATTGTGCCAAAGGGGTTTCTCCCCTTGCAAGATCCCTGAGTGCGCGTGGGACTTGCAGTTGTCTCTCTGTTGCCCTTGGGATCGCCCCCATGCCCCCATCCATGCCAGTCTGGAGAATCCCTCTTCTCTAGGAGCAGTGCAGGGTCTTTGATCCCTGGCCCAGCTGTTCCCATTATCCGGGGCTTTTCCAGCCAGTGATTTATAAGCCGCCGTGCCCATAAGTTTCCAAGCTGCTGCCTGCTCGGGGTGGGTCGGGATAGATGGACCCTGGTCCATGAGGGAGCTGCGTGTCCCCCGGCTGCAGCCAGCTCCCCACGGGCTGCTTGTGCCACCGGGGCCCAAGGCAGGCTGCTTTTGGCTGCTGGCTGCTTCTCCAAGCTAGGGCAGGACTGTGACAGCCTGGGGATGCTGGGGTCTGGTCCTGATGGCAGCTGGCTCCTGGCAGGTCTTAGGGCTGCTGCTGTGTCCATAGACTCCTGCGTGCATGGAGCAATTTACTGAGTTTTGCATGGAGGAGATATGTTCAGAGTGCGGAAACTGAGGCACAGACAGGGGAAGGGACTTGCCAGAGGTCCCCCACAAAGTCACTAGCAGAGCTGAGACGAGGACCCAGGCCAGGGCACATTGCACCCGCCGCTTCGTGCCCCTGTTGCTGGGCCTTCCCCGCGTCCATCCAGCCGCAGGGTGCGAGAAGCAAAAATATCCTGTTCCTTCCCGGCTGGGAGGCCACGTACAGGGAAAACGCCAGGATTCAGGCAGCCCCCTTCCCCCTGCCCCTTGTTCCAGCAGACATGGGATCTTCCCAGCAAAATCCTGACCCTCGTCTAGCTGCCAGGGCCAGGGAGACCCCCGCCAAACCGCCGCGAGAGCTTGCATTCGGCCTGGACCCGCTACAAGGGAGCAGAGGGGGTCGCACTGCTTCCAGGCTGGGGTCAGTTTAGGGTGGACGGAGCTCGCTCACAGGAGCGAAACCCGCCTGGTTTGAAGGGTGCGGACAGAGCGGTGCCACCAAACGCGGGCAGCCGTGCCGTGCCCCCACCACTACCTGGGACCGGTTTGGTTGAGGGCCGCTCTGATTCCTTGGCGGGTCTCTTGTCTGGTCCCAAGAAAGTTTCTCTCGGCTCAAATCTGGCTGCAATAGCTTACTTGCCTGGCAGGGGACGTACCCTGACCACGATGGTGGCAGGGGAAAGAGTGTGACCGAGGCAATGCGGTTCAAATGGCGCTGTGCAGTGGAGGGTCGCACCCTTGCCTGTTTGCAGACTTGACTCCCGACGAGAGCCTCATCGTTAGCCTCCCACTGGCCAGCTTCCAGCGGGAGGATCTCGGCTCCGCGCCGACTTCATGGAAACGGGAGACTCCTCCCTAGCTTGCTCCTGCGGCCGTACGGCTGAGGGCAAGTGAAACTCGGGGGCATCCGAACCCCAAGTCTCCGGACATGCATGTAGGATGCCTGCCGAAGGATTTGGAAGTATGTTGAAGCCCCAGGCTGGGGTGGGGGATACGTGTCGGTAGCAGGGCCGCTTACGGTTCTTGAATGATTCAAACGGATTTGGACCTGCTCTGGTTAATGAAAAATTTTCCTTAAAAAGAAAATTTAAAAAATTGACCCCAATAGCTCTGCTTTGCACCCAACACCAGGAGCTGAACCTGAGCTCGGCAGCTCCTTGCAAATGCTTAAGAGCAGGGCAAAAGGAAGCAAGAAGTCCTGGGTTTCTGCAAAGCCTTGCATGGCCCAATGCTATCAGAGCCGCTGCCCCCAGCCTCCTGACTCTGGTGTGTCCTCTGCGTCTCTAGTACCTGCTGAAAGCCAGCGAGAGCCAGATGAAGCAAGGCCCAGACTTCCTGCAGAGCCTGATCAAGTTTTTCCACGCGCAGCACAAGTAGGTAGCACCCGACTCCCCGCAGGAGCTCGCCCCTCCCTGGCACCGGGAGATGCAGCTCTGCAGTAGATCTTGCAAAGCAGCGAGTGGCCAGGGTTCGCCTTGTAAAAACCCAGCTGACTTCAGTGACTGTGAACACCTAGGACAAGGGTGTGGACCTCTTCATTCCACATAGACCCCAATTTAGCAAAGCACGGAAGTCCCAAGGGAGCTTGAAAATGTGTGTTTGTCGCATATGGGTGACCTTAAGGAGGTGCGTTGAGCCACAGCAAGGAATATTTAACTAGCGAGATATCCCGCAAGCGGTCACTTTGCTCAGCATCACAGACCCGCTGCGGAAGCAGTCTCTCTGCAGCAGTACAGCACCCTGCACATTGCAATAGTCTGTATTTTTCCCCTGTGTGGTGCATTGGTTCCTTACCAATTGCATCAACAATACGTCCAAGCCCCCTCATGTGAGGACCTCAGGGTGGGTCTGGAGAAGCAGCATCCTGCATCTTCCCAGTGGGGACAACTGACAAGAGTCTCACCCAAGGTTTGATAGTGGTGCAGTAGCAGAGCTTACAAGTGGAAGCCAGGAGAGGTGACAGCAAGTGGTTGGGGTTTCTTCCAGCCCATAGTGTGGACGTGTTGAGACCTGGGGCTCTGGGCTTCGTGCTGTCCCGATGCAGATGCGGGCATGTCTGCACTGCACTCGCTGCTATGCCATGTGGCCATGCCAGGAGAGAGCCAGCGTGGGCAGGAGCTCCAGGGTGGAGGCTGGATGCGAAAGGCCCGATTGCATTTGGTGTATGGCGTTGCAATGCCTCTGCATAACTTTCCTCTCTCGCTCTCCCCTGCCCCTTCCCTCACTTCTCTCTCGGTGACCAGCTTCTTTCAAGACGGCTGGAAGGCGGCGCAGAACCTGCACCCGTTCATTGAGAAGCTCGCTACCTCCCTGCATGCAGTAAGTGACTGTCGCCGGGAGCTGCTGAGGGTTGCAGCTGCTCAGCCCTCTCTAGGGTCATGCCCTTGATTTTGGTTTTGTTTCTCAAAGTGGACTCCAGTGCAGGGTGCGAACCTGCCAGGGGGAACCCCTGGGGACCTCCCTCGAGGCCGAGCTGGTCCCGGGCATTAGACCAGTGCATTTCCCTTGCATGGCAGGGAGATGGGAAGAAGTGACAGTGATTGAAGTGTGCTGTGGGTAGGGTCCCTGGCAGGGTCTCGCTGCTGGCGCTGGGTACATGCACAGCCCCTGCTCTGAATTTTAAACCACCCAACAGAGCCTGATGAACCAGCATCGACCAGTGCAGACCCCAGTACAAAGCCGTGCTTCCCTAACCTACTAGACCTGCCTGAATGCATCAGTGACCAACTGGGGATGTATTTGGTAGTCAATGGAGGTAGCCAATGACCAACTGGGGATGTATTTGGTAGTCAATGGAGGTAGCCAATGACCAACTGGGGATGTATTTGGTAGTCAATGGAGGTAGCCAATGACCAACTGGGGATGTATTTGGTAGTCAATGGAGGTAGCCAATGACCAACTGGGGATGTATTTGGTAGTCAATGGAGGTAGCCAATGACCAACTGGGGATGTATTTGGTAGTCAATGGAGGTAGCCAATGACCAACTGGGGATGTATTTGGTAGTCAATGGAGGTAGCCAATGACCAACTGGGGATGTATTTGGTAGTCAATGGGGGTAGCCAATGACCAGCTGGGGATGTAGCTAGCCTGAGACAAAAAGAGATGCAAAAATCTAGAAGTCCTGGTTCAGGATGATACCTTTTATTAGACCAACTAAGAAATCACACAAAAATGATCTTTTTCTGCAAGCTTTTGGGCTTACAGATTTCCATCTTCAGGTTCCTCTGTGGAAAAACAAAGTTTATTTCCTACCTATGGTGACTTTTCAGCATCTTTAATTTTCCCTGAGCCTGATGAAGGGCACATGAGTCCTAAAGCTTGCAGAAAAAGATCATTTTTTTGCGAGTTCTTAGTTGGCCTAATAAAAGGTCTCATCTCTGGACCAAGACTTCTAGATTTTTGCATTTCTTCAATGACCAATTGCGTGCTCCAGAGCAAACACTGCTGCCAGTTCGTGGCAGAGCCAGGCTGCCAGGCTGGTGGGTGTTGAGACCGTGCACTGTTTTTCCATGGGTACCTTTGCTTCCCCGGTGTCTGATGCATCCCAAAAGCCACGTCTCGTTTGGGAGGGTGTCTGATGGAGTTTCACACGTGTTGCCTGGAGATGCAGCTGCTCCGTGTGGCTCCCCTCTAGACTAGCCTCCAGCTGCCCTTCTCTCTCTTCTTGACCTGAGCATCCGCTGCTAGCAGAGGGGTCCCCTCCTTTGCGATGCCTGGCTTGGCCTGGCCAGCTGTGGGGCTCAGGTGAAGCGTGGCCCCTTGGCTGCCAGGCGGGCAGTATGGCTGCGGCTGGGGTAATGGTCCCATCCAGCAGCTGCTTCTCTTCCCAGCTGCAGCAGGCCCAGGAGGAGGAGGTGAAGCAGCTCACGCAGATCCGCGACTCTCTTCGCAGCACCCTGCAGCTGGAGAACAAGGAGGTGAGGCTGCTGAGCGTGGGATGACCCAGTGCCTCAGCCGAGAGACCGCTCCTCGGGCTGGACAGGAGCTGCCTGCCCTGGGGAGGGGGGTCCCAGGGTAGGGTAATGCTGGGGCTCAGCTGCTCCTGGTCCAAGAGGCTGTGCAGATGCCCAGCAGAGTAAGACGTTGTCCCAGAGGATGCTGAAGGTGATGGGACCGGGAAATTAGGGACCTACAGGGTGCAAGGTGGCAGGAGCAAGAGGCAGAGCACAGCCGGGGAGGGCTTTCGGAGGTAGTCAGGACGGGCACTCGGAGATCTGGGATGATCGGAGGAGACTTGGAGGAGATGCGCGGGGCTTGTGAGGAGGAAGTGGCTGGTACCACTTTGAAAGTCTTTCTCCTGTTCCCCTCGGTGAGCTCAGGAGAACCTGAGCAGGAAGAACTCGGGCGGGGGCTACAGCATCCACCAGCACCAAGGGAACAAGCAGTACGGCACGGAGAAATCAGGCTTTCTCTCCAAGAAGAGCGACGGGTGAGCACGAGACGCCCCCTCCGTGCTCCTGTTACCAGGACATGCTGCTTCCTGGGCCCGAAGCGATTAGTGGCCCGGGGGGCTCCTTGTGGAAGGGGCAGGGACAGGTCACCGAGGATCAAGAGGTGGAAGAAGCGGTTGGGAAAGGGTTTTTTTGCCCAGTGCCCTCCAGCAGGTCCTACTAGAAGCCAGCAACGGTCCTTTCTGGGTTAGTGGGATTGCCCCTTTCCTAAAGGCCCCACTTACCTCCCGCTGCAGCCGCGGCAGGGAGAACGGGACCCAAGGGAGATGTTGCCCTGGGTCAGGACTGAGGCCTCTTGCCAGCTGTGGTCTTTGGGGTTACCAACCTCCTACAAAGGCAGAGAGAGAAGAAGCCTCGTAAGGGAGTGGGTGGGGAGTGAGGGATGAGGCCCTTGCAGCAGAAAGATGGAGACCTGGGGAGCGTCTCCGAGGTGCGTCTCACCCCACGTAGCCCAACGGGGCAAAGCTCTGCCGAAACCATTGCTGAGAGGAGGCCATGGAGGTGGGCGCAGCCCTGGCTGCGGGGGGTGGTGACATGGGGGGCACGGCGCAGCCCCTCACTCCCCGCTCTGCCTGCCCTAGGATCCGGAAGGTGTGGCAGAAGAGGAAATGCGGCGTGAAGTACGGGTGTCTCACCATCTCGCACAGCACGGTAAGGCCCGGTGGCAGCTGGGGCAGCCTCAGAGCTGGTCCCCCCGGGCTCAGTGCATCAAGCAGGAGCTGGGAGCGATTTGCCTGGAGGCTGCAGGTTTCATCGGTTCAGACCCTCCGTCCAGCCATCCTTTTCTTTCCCTCTCCCCTGGGTGAGCACACGAAGAGCCGGCGAGGCTGCGGTTGTAGGCTCCTACGATTGTAGGAAAGTCAGGCTGGAAGGCACCTCCTGATCTCCTCTGGTCAAGCCTCCTGCTCAAGGCAGGGTCATGCCTGAGTAAACCCATCGCATAGATTTCATAGACATTATAGCCATTAGGGCTGCAAGGGACCTCGCCCAAACTAGAAACCGTGCAGTGCAGATGGAAACCCTTGAAAATATCCATCTCTGCCTCATCCTGCCATGCTCACCTTGTGGGCAGCCACCCGCTTGTAGCCTCAGCGTACGGCCCAGAGCCGTGCAAAACAGGGTAGTTTTGTTTTCCTAGAAGCCCGTCAAAGGTGAGAACCGAATCTTTTATAGGTTGTACCCTCCCAATGGCAGTCTAGCACTTGGGCAAGATCAGCTGTTCATGAAATGTTGGGCAACCCCTGCCCGGGTTTGGGTTTTAAGGATGCTTTAGATTGGAGACTGCATAAAAACTCATCAGTTGCCAGTGGCTCATTGGAGAGCGAGATTGTGCCTATGAGAGAAACCCTTCAGTGCCTTGTCGAGCAGAAAGAGGCGGCTCACAGACTGGTAGAGAAGCAGGGCTGGAAGGGGCCTCCATAAGCCATCTAGTCCAACCTACCCAACCCAGCATCGCCAAACCATCCATCATCCGTTAGCAAAACGACACAGTCAACCCTGCTGCAGTCTGCAACCAGTTAGCCCAGTCGTCTGAAGTCAGGCAGGAGGCAGGGTGGGGTGAGAGAGGCAAGAGCCCCTCGAGGGTGCAGACGGTAGACAGAAAATAAGTAAAAAAGGGGTCTGCCCTCCCGAGGCAGACGGGGCAAATTGCAGCTTGCAAGAGGAAAGCTGCGCGTACGTGTGCTGCAGCAAAGGTCCCACGCTTTGGCCCAGGAGAGCAGAAGGAGGCTTGGGTATTGTCTGGGGATAAGGTGGAGGAAGCCGTGGCCCTCCGAGACCACCGGGATCTGGGCTCTTCCCCACGGGGACGTCTCCCTTTGCTCACGGTTGGGGCCCAATGCCTGCGTTCCCTGACGCTGACCGGTGCCCCGGGAGGCCGGTGTCCCCTCTCCTCGCGTCCTGCTTCTACCTATCCACTCGGTTCCCTGCACAGATCAACCGGCCTCCCGTGAAGCTGAACCTGCTGACGTGCCAAGTGCGGCCGCACCCCGAGGAGAAGAAGTGCTTCGACCTCGTGACGCGTGAGTGGGGTCTCGCCTCTGGCAGTGCAGCCGTTCCTGTCTGGGTCTGGGTCTAGGAGGCCATTTGGGCTCTTGAAGCCCCGTGCATCTGGTTAGGAGATGCCTCCCCCCCTGCAGCTCCGGACACCCTGTCCGATGGTTACTGACCGTCAGACCGCAGGGATTTCGTCTGCGTGCGGGCAGCAATGAAAGCAAGGCTATTCCAGCTGGAAAAGTTCCACCAAACTCCGAGGCAGCCGCCTCCGAGAGAGATTTCTGCCCTGTTCCTTCCCCCAGCTGGTCTAATGCTGCCTCTTCCCCCCCAGCCCCAGCTCAGCCCACACATCTCGGTGTTTCTGACCTCCAGACACACTTTCCGCAGCCTCTCCCTGGCTGAGGATGCCCATCCCGTGGTCCCTTGCTGATGGCTGCAGGTGTCCCTTGTGCAGTTAAAACGAGGTCTGCCAAACCCGTGATTCTCAGGACTCTGGAAGTAAAAGCCAGCAGCTTTACGCTGTGAAAAGCCAGCTGCTTGGGACATCTGGAGCTGGGGGCAGATCCTGCCGGGAGAACGGAGGCATCCTCAGACATTGCAAGCTCGGCTTCACCTCTCCTGTCCTTGTCCCTGCAGATAACAGGACGTACCACTTCCAGGCGGAGGACGAGCAGGAGTGCCTCGTGTGAGTGGCTGCAATTAGCCTTTGGCTCTTGGCCGCATGCAGAGGGCAGGCTCTTTTGCACATGCACACGGGAAGGTGCAGGTCGTCTTTGCATCAGCGGTCAGCAGGAGAAGAGGCACGAGGCCTGGCAGAGCCCCGTAGACGCTGTCCTGTAGACAGCAGTGGGCTGGGGAGACATGGGCTGGTGCATTGTAGCAGGGGGCTGGGGGCTTGCTGGGCATCACTTCTGGCCCCATGCAGGTTGTATGAAGCCTAGTGGCTAGAGCATGGCACTGGGACTCGGCACTGTTCCTAGCCCTGCCACTGTCACGCCCTCAGGCAAGTCACTTAAGCCCTCCGTGCCTCAGTCTCCACCTCTCTAAAATGGGGACAATGAGGGAGCACATCTGCAACTGCTCTCCTGTCTAGAAAGGGTGGGGGGGGTCTTTTGTTCCTTCCTCTGTGTCCCCAAACCCTGCCACTGACCCCTACCCCACCCCCCAGCTGGGTGTCCGTGCTCCAGAACAGCAAAGATGAAGCCCTCAGCAACGCCTTCAAGGGAGACCCCGGCAGCTGCATGGCCTCGGCCGGGGGGGCGGCCGACGGCAGCCTGCAGGAGCTCACCAAGCTGGTCATCGGGGAGGTGAAGAGCCTGCCGGGCAACAGGCAGTGCTGCGACTGTGGGGCCCCAGGTAGGTCCTGGCACCGCAGAGCCGGAGCCGATGCGTGCGGAGGGGGGAGGGAGCCGTCGCGCTGTGTGCCCCTCTGCTCTCCCACCTCCAGCTACATGATGGGCATCGTGTGTGGGGGGCGATGGGGTGAGGGTCCTGGGGCTGGGAGCTCCCGGCAGAGGCGAGGGTGCAGGGCTGCTGGGTTTCTCTAAGGAGCAGCCCTCGGCCCGGCCATAGGGAGAGCAGGACTAGACGGGGCCGCAGCGTGCTGGGGGCTGCGACAGTGCTAGCAAGCAGGGCGTGCTGCTGCCTTGCAGATCCCACGTGGCTCTCCACCAACCTGGGCATCCTGACGTGCATCGAGTGCTCGGGCATCCACCGTGAGCTGGGCGTGCACTATTCCCGCATCCAGTCCCTGACCCTGGATGTCCTCAGCACCTCCGAGCTGCTGGTAAGTGGCTCCCGTCTCCCCGCGGAGGCATCGTCTTTGGCATCTCTGCCTCCCCTGCCGCTCTGCCCATCCCGAGCAAATTGGATGCTTATCTTGCTGGGATCCTGTGACCCCAGCTGACTTCCTGCCCTTTGGGCGGGGGGCTGGACTCGAAGATCCTCTGAGGTCCCTTCCAGCCCAAATGTCTATGAAATCTATGAAATCCCCTCCCCGTCCCGAGCCCTGGCTAGAGGAAGGGAGGGAGGAAGGGATCAAGTAGCATCCCTGTTCCTTTGGGATCGCTCCCCAGAGGGTCCGAGGCACGTGGTTGCTGGCGCTCGAGCCACGGCGGGTCCCCCGCTGCCTGGTTTCTCCTCCGTCCCGCAGCTGGCAGTCAGCGTCGGGAACGCCCGCTTCAACGAGATCATGGAGGCCACGCTGCCGGCGCAGGGGAGTCTGAAGCCATCGTCAGGCAGTGACATGTGAGTAAGAAAGCTCCTGCGCTCCCTGCCCCGAACCCGCCAGCCCTCGAGGGAGGTGGGGAGTCGGGGTCTCTTGCTACAGCCGTGCCTCGGGGCTGGCCAAGCCTCTCCCTCCAGGAGAGGATGGTTTGATTCGACGTGCCTGCCTTACCCTTGCTTCAGGACCCTGCAGCCAGGCACGGGCAGTGGTGTCTGCCATGCCCCGGCTGAGGTGGCACCTCTATGCCCCCTGCCCCGCAGGAGCGCCAGGAAAGAATATATCGTGGCCAAATACATGGAGCGCAAATTCGTGCAGAAGACGGGCAGGGAAGACCCTCACCGGCTCTGGGAGGCTGTCCGCAGCCGGGATGTCTTGGTGCTGCTCCAGGCATTTGCAGAAGGGCACGACCTAGGAAAACCTCTGGCAACCCCCGACGGCCAGGTGAGCCCTGCCTGGCCCTTGCGTGCACAGTGCTGGCTAAGGGCACCGTCTCCTCGAGGCCTGATGCCGGCTGGTTCCCTGGCGTCTGCATCACGGGAGACTTGTCCAAGGTGCATCAAGGCCATTGCAGGCCTGGTGGGGAGCCCAGCTCACAGCTTCCCATGGGGCCTCCAGCAAACCCAGTTCCCAACCTCCCATGCTGGTGGGATCTGACCCAAAGAGTGTGGGCTTGAGCATCCAAGACTGGTAGATGCCTCCCAGACCATTCCCATTTGGTCCCAAACCCCGTTTTCCCCTGGAGAAGCAGTTTTAATGGCAATGGGACCCATATACTGGTACAGCTGGCTGCGTCTGGTCTCCCGAATGGGCAGAGCACTGGGGTGAGGGTTAACCCTGCTGCTTTTGCTCCCGTGGCAGGACCAGGGCGAGCTGGCTCTGCACGTGGCCGTGCGATATGCAGACAAGTCCTCCCTGCCGCTGGTGGACTTCATCATCCAGAACGGGTAAGGCTCAGGGGAAGGGGCAGCCACATCAGAGCTGCACACGCGTCAGGTCTTGGGAGCCAAGTGCATCCGGACCAGGAGCAAGCCAGAGATGGCTCCGGACAGTCAAAAACTCTCCTCCCCATGAAACCCAGCACCCCCGGCCATTGGAGGGGTCTTCCCAGGTGTGGCCCAGTCTGTTTCCAAAGCCGGGGGGAAAATGCATGAGATTGCAGCCCCCCTTCCTGCCTCTTGAGAGGCCAAGCAAAAAGCAGGAGAGAAAACGTCACCCCAAGGGACCCAGGACGGCAAGGACAACAGGGAGCTTGGACATGGCAGGGTACACAGGCAGGGATGCTATGCCTGCTAGGGAGGAAGGCATGCAGGAGCCGGGGATACAGGGCAGGTTGGTGGACAGCATGATACGAAGTCCCCGTGCCGGAGCGAACAGGCCAGTGCCATTCTGGGCTGGGGACATGGCAGGACTTTCTTGACGGGTTTCCCCCAGGTTCATCTGGTGATGGCTTGCGTCAGGGATCTAGTGGTTATCCAGCCAAGGGAGGCTCTTAGTCCACATGCAGGGCAGGCCGGCAGCCTTCTTCCCATTTTACAGATGGTGCAACTGAGGCACCGTGTGGTGAAACGACTTCCCCGTGGTCTCATGAGCGGGGCAGCATGTCCCATGCTCCACGGGTCTCATTCTAGCTTGGGGGAGAGGCCCAAGACTCTTCCTGGGGGCCTCCCACATCCTTTAACTGCCTCTGCCTGCTTGCACAGGGGGAACCTGGACAAGGCGACTCTGGATGGGAGCACGGCCCTGCACTACAGCGCCCAGTACAACCAGCCCAACTGCCTCAAGCTGCTGCTGAAAGGGAAGGCCGCTCTCAGCCCAGGTAGGCTTCACGCCTAACTAAAGGGAATTCCTCCAGCATTTTTTCACAAATATCTTTTCCCGGTTTTAAATCGGTATTTCAGCTAGAGATTATTGACCGAGCGGCTTGTTGTACGCGGCGTGTGGATGGAGCGTGGTCAGATATGTCCATGTTTCATAATCGTGTGTTACCCCTAACCCACCTTCTGTCCACACACACGCAACTCGTTAACCTGAGTTCAGTCCTGTTTTCAATCCTGGCCAGGCTGGGGGTCAGAGCACAGGTTTAGATTTCATTTTTGCCAGTAATGTGGTAGTGCGGACACAGATGTAAGTGTTTTGCCCTGGGACGCCCAGGCAGAAGAGCCCAGTTCTCCCAGATTTGGCTGGGATACAACTGGAGCAGTTCAGTGTATTGTTATGGTTGCTGGTATCATCATTAGCACAGCTTCAATTACTATTCCTGTGATTACTACTAATCATCTCTTTAAAAAGTCTGTGGCAGTGGGTGTATTGCGGGTGCATGGCTGCGGCCCAGTGGCACCCTCTGGGCACCCCTTTTTGGGGGGACTCCCTGAGCCTGGGAAAGGAGCGGGCATTTTCTGGGGGCTCAGACCCAGTGTCCTTTCTACCCCTCCAGTGAACACGGCCGGAGAGACAGCCTTGGACGTGGCAAAGAGACACAAACACACCGAGTGCGAGGACCTGGTAGGCTGGGCCCTTTGTGGTGGGGTGTGTATGGAGGGGAGCGGTGCACAGCCCCTCTCTTGGGATGGGGCAGGGGTGCCTGGCATTGGCATGGGCCCAGCCCAGGGGGTCTTGTCCCAGGACAGAGGTGGGAAGCAGCAGGTTCGTGCTGGAGAGGAAGCCGGGGAGGGTCCTGAGCTGTGAATTGGTATCATGCCCGTGGCAGGGATGGCAGCCGGGCCCTGCACTGAGTGGCGTTTCTAGCCTTGTTTGCCCGGCCAGGGTTGGGGTGGGGGGTAGAGCGCAGGATGAGATTTAACTTTTGCTAGTAACATACTTTGCAGTAAGAGTGAGTCCTCCAGTGTCTTCCCACAATTCCCTTGGACCCCCCCAAGAAAGAGCGGTCCAGTTCTCCCACACTTGCCTGGAATAAAATCAGCAATTCAGATAATTGGGATGACTCTTATTATTATTATTACTGTTATTCATTATACTAATCCATTCAGATTCTTCTTGTTATTATCACTGGGACGACTATTATTGTTATTATTACGGTTATTAATTATACTAATCATCCCTTAAAGAACTCCGCGATGGGTCTCCCAGAGCCCCAGTCCTGCACTCGCACACACGCACACGCTACCCGTGCAAATGCACTAACTCGGGGCTTTGCACCACAGTCGCTCCCAGCGGGGCACTAATCACCCGTGTTAACTCTGCAGTGAAGATGTGCCCTGTTGCACTTGGGGTTGGGGTTCATAGCAAAACGCCCCTGCAGTAGACCAGCATCCTGGCAACTCAGTCGTGTGCTGGGCGGTCGTAGGAAGATGGGTCGAGGGGAGATGCATCCAGGTGGGGCAGTTCAGCTCCGAGGTGTGGATGCCACTTGGCTGCGGGGGCCTAACTGTGTCCCTGATGCCACGCGTGGCCCTGTTTTTCCTGGCAGCTGGAGCAGGCGCAGGCCGGGAAGCTGAACCTGCAGCTGCACGTGGAGTACGACTGGGAGGCCCCGCAGGAGTACGCCTACGACAGCGAGGAGGAGCTGGAGGAGAAGGTACCAGTCACTCGGCTGGGCTGGGCTGGGCTGGGGGCATGGACCTCACTGGCATCCCTGGGTCAGGGCTCGCAGCCCCCTGCCCCACGTCATGCCAGGCACGCAGCCCCCTCCTCACGGACCCCCATCCCCATTGCCCCTCGGCTCTGGGACGTGCTTGCTTGGGGTTGGGGCTTGGATGCAGCTGCATCCCTGCAGCTGCCCTTGCGAAGCGAGGGGCTGGGCGGGCAGACCCCCGGGGGGCTCCCTCCTGCTGACGGCTGCGCCGTCTGCCCGCCCAGGTGAGCCCGCTGCAGCGATCGCTGAAGTCCACGTCGTCGCCCACCATGGGCCAGCCCGGCCTCGCCTCCCAGAACCGGTGGAGCTGCACGGGCATGGACATCACCAACAAGACCTACGAGTCCATCCTGGTCCCCTCGCGGCCCAGCCCCCGGCGCTCAAACAGCGAGGAGATTCCCCCGCCGCTGCCGGTCAAAAACCCTGCCCGGGGGGGCACCCGCACCAAGCCCGGTAAGCCCGTGCAGGGCTGGAGATGGGGGGCAGAGCTGCGGGGAACACCTGCGTCCCTAAACCCCCTGGGCAGCAGATACGGGCCGAGCTGGCCGGAGCGTGGGTGCATGCCCCAGCCAGGGGGTCTCCAGGGTGTTAGCAACTGTGATGGGAAGGAATAACCAAGTGCAGGGGTTATTTGGGGCTCTTGGATCCCAAACAGAGCTGGGGGGGCGGCTCCGGTTGGTTCATGCTCTGTCCTAACTGGCTCCCCCGTACCTGGGAAGGGCTTTACAGCTTACAGGGGCCACAGGTAGGCCCTCAGTGAGCAACCAAGGACCCAACAGGCTCCCAGTTTGACCAGCAAACCCCCTGGGACACGCGCCCCCTGATCTCCCAAACCTTCCCTGCCCAGAGCTCCCACGCCAGACCTCCGAGCCCCAAGTCAGCAGCCCACCGGAGGCCCCCGCCATCCGAAACCTGTCCACGTCCAGTGCTCCGGGCACCTTGGACAGTGGAGCCGGCCGGCAGCTCTCCACCTCCCTGAGCCCCACGGAGACCTGGCGCGCGGCCTACTGGGAAACCCACGCGGAGCCGGAGAGCGGCGCCCAGCGGAGGGGGGCTGAGACCAGCCAGGCCACGGCGCCACCGCCGGAGGCCGGCACGTCCCCGGAACAAGGGCAGCTCAACCCTGTCAAGTTCAGGTAGGCAGCGGGGATGGGCACCCAGCTGGAGTCACTCCTGGAGGTGCGGCAGGGGCTCGGGGGCCGCGCCGCAGGAGCTGAAGCCGCTGGGCTGCGGTGCCTTCTCTCCACGTGCTGTGAGCATGGAAGCGGATGCGGTCTCATGCCTGCAATGAGCTGCGCAGTCCTCTGAGCCCATGCACCGTGTATGGCAGGGCACCGCTGCCGTCTTGCTGGCTGCTGGTTGCACAGCACCAGGCGCAGTGCCTCCACACTGGGGACTCTGGCTGCACGGACAGTCCAGGCTTGTGGCCTTTTTGGAAGAAGGAGAAGCCAGTGCTTTGGAGGGGCAGCACGCACAGGAGCGGGGGGAGCTGGGGGCACAGCACTGCCCCTTCCCCAGGTTTCTTAAGCAGCCTCACTTTGCCCCCCACAGATCAGAGAGCACCCGCTCCTACCGGCGCATCAGTGGCGGTGCAGGGGGCAAAGCCTCCAGCTCGGCCCCCGCCCCGCACAGCTCAGCCGGCCCCGAGGACCTGCCTCCGAGCAAGGCACCAAGTCCTGCCCCTGTGCCCATGCCCAGGAGGTTTGCTCCGGTAGGTACCCGGCGAAGGAGGGCTCCCTCCCGTGCCTGCCCAGTCTCCTCCCGGCACCCTTGACCTTGAGGACCCTGAGCTCCCTGCTCTCCACTGTGTTGTTGGAGGGGAAGGGGATCCCGGTGATCCCTCTCCCCCCACTGACATGCGCTGCTTGCTGGGGCAGGCCAAGGTGAGGCAGAAGAGGGTGAAGGCTCTGGTGGACTGCAAGGGCGACCGAGCCCGGGAGCTGACCTTCTCCAAGGGGGAGGTGATCGTGGTGACCCGGGAGGAGGATGAGCAGAGCTGGGTGAGTGCCGCGGCGGTCCTCGCCTCCCTGCCGCTTCCCAGCGCTGGCCCGGGTTCCTCCGAGCCCGGCTGTCTGGCTGTGCCCCTGCCCAAGGCAGGTGACCTGTTGGATCAGGCGCTTCGGAGGGCTTCACGTGAGTGCAGGGGTGGATCGCCATCAATCAGCCCCTCCAGCATGCTGCTGCACGCAGCTGGAGTCCTCCCATCCTCTGGGGCTTAGTCCCCATTGGGGTGCAGAAGCCTCCCACCCCTCAGCCCTGCATCCCTGTGGCTTTGCACCCTCCCCCTGGGCAGCCTCCCCGCGTCCCGGCCTCAGAGACGAGAGCCCATGGCCGTGACCCCCCTCTGCCTTCTGCTCCGGGTTTGCAGGTCGGCTTCATCGAAGGAGACGGCTCCAGAACGGGCATCTTCCGGGCCAGCTCCGTGCACCTGCTGCAGGACTGAAGGGCGTCCACCTCCCTTCCCCTGCAGCGCAGAGGGGCGGGGAGCTCTCCTTGGACCTGGCACGGGGCTGCCGGCTCGCCGCGCCCTCACCCGAGCCCTGCGTGCTCCTCGCTTCCCTCACCCCCTCCTGACCTGGCCCTCCGGAGACTGGGCACCGCAGCATGTGGGGCCGGAGCTGGAGCTGGGTGGAAACCCCCCGCCGCGATCCTTCTGGACAGCATCGCTTTAGGACTGGCGTGGGTCTCTTGTGCTGGGTCAGGCCGGCTCTGCCCAGCCTTGCAGCTTGCTGGAGGACCCGGACCGCAGGGTCCCGCATCTGAATCAGCCTGGGACAAGCCTCCTGGCCCTGGCAAGGCTGAGGGCACTGGGGAGGGGGGTGAGCTGCGGGGGGGTTTCAGACTCCGGGCCACAGCTGGTTAGGAAGCAGAGAACCGGCAAGCTCGGTGCACAGGTGGGGCAATAGTTTTTCACCTCTCCATCCCTCCCATCCTTCGCCCGCTTTGTAACCCCGGGTCCCCTGGAGGAATGTGGACTCCTGCTCTCTCCTCCGGGGGCTTCATTAGGGTTGTTTGGGGGGCAGGGGGGCGCCTACCTCTCACCACCCTCCCCTGGTGTGAACGTGAGAGCCCTGCTGGGCCTGGGGGCTGCTGCAGGGACCTCCTTCCCCTGCCCCAGCCCTGCAGCACCCCCGGCTCATAAAGGCAGGGCAGGCGAGGTCTGTCCTGCCGTGGGAGTCCTTCCTGTGGCCGCCCCAGGGGCTACCCCCACGCTCCTTATTGCTGGCCCCCTTTCCAGACAGACGAATGTATCAGCTTGCAGCACGACCGCCCCATCCCAACTGCCTTCTCCACTGCCCGGCGCGTCCCCGCCATGCTCCAGGCCGGCGTGCCTCTGGGGGCTACAGAAACCGGCGTGCCCGTAGCCACGTGGGCTGCTCAGCTTGGGGCATCTAACTGTGACCCCTATGCTGAGTCCAGTGCCTGGGCTTGGACGAAAGCATTTCAGTTCCTATGAGACCCAACTGTTACGGGGCAGGGCATGGCTCAGGTCATGCAAAGGGTTAATCCCTACTTCTCCAAATAGCCTGGGAACTGCCTGTGGCCCTTTCTGTTTCCTGCCGCAGGAAATGAGGTTGCGACGTCTTGGCCCCGTGGCTCTGCTGTTACTCCCTGCTCTGGGGACGATGGAGACCCTGGTCTCCGCCAGCAGCAGCCCCTCAGTTGCCCTCGTTGTCCGTGCCTTGGCTCCTCAGTGAAAATGCTTGAAGGGAAGGGAAGGAGCTGAGCTCCTGATCCGTGCCAGCAGTGCCCCCGTCAATGGCACGTGCCCAGGAGGAGCCGGCCTGGGCGTGTGGTGGCACAGAGGATACCCCAGCTTCATGTCTCACGTGCATCTCCTCCACCCACCCTGGAACTGTGAAATGCTATTTTTTTTAACTAGGAAAGTGCTATTTTTGGTGCTCGCAGCCACGTCCGTGTCACGCCGGGCTCAGACCGGAGTTCGGGGGCGGCTGGATTTGGACACAGACGTCTTTCAGCCCCGTGGCTGGAGGACGCTGCTGGGCAGCGGAGCCTGGCCCGGGTTTGAGGCGAGGAGCCTGTATTGAGGCTTCAGGGGGAGATGCAGACCCGGTGGTTCTCCAGACTTTCAGGTACAGATTTGGATCTGGATTATGACCCCACTTCCCAAAGGCCTGGGGCGCTGGTTGAAGGCCCTTTTTGAATGTACAGATTTTTCACCGCCGCCTCTTTTCACTCCCACCAGGCTTGGAGACAGCCAGGGAGTCTCTGTCCCTTGCCTAAAAGGGGTCAGGCTGCTACTTGGTTCTGCAATCACTGGGACCAATGCTTCCTACTCATACGAGCTTCCCTGGGGATATGTGGGATCAGACTGCCCTATGTTATAATCGTAAAGGGGCTTTTTTTTCACTGAATATTTCATCGCAGAAGGGGCATTTTATTGCTTTCCCTTTTGATTTGGAATAAAATGATTTTTTTTAAAATAAAGACAAGGGGCTTCTGCTCATGCTGTAGCCAGAATAAGGATGGAGATCTAGGTGTGTCCCAAGTAAGAGTGCGGGAGGGTGTCGTATGGATGCAGCGCCTCATCCCCGAGTGCTGAGCAGACGACAGCTCCGAGTTGCTTCACCCCGCGTGGGAGGGGAAGGCAGCGCTATCTACCAGCAGCTTATGGCCGAAATGTCAGACTAGGGTCTTGTCTTGGTGCTGCTGCGTGAATAAAGGTGGCAGAAAGGGGCACTGCTCTAATTGCAGCTGGGCAGGGGGTTCCTCCCATGAAATGGGCCTTTTAATAACCGAGGCTGGGGTTACGTCACCTCCATCACACCAGCGCCCTGTAGCTTGAAGCTGGGGTGTGAGGCCCTGCTATAGCTCAGCATCGTTTCCTAGAGCGCCAAGAGTCACCCGGCTATAGATGTGGCAACTCTTTTGCGTCTTGCTCTCCGAAAGCCGCAGCAACTTTGCCGTGCAAAGGGCAAAGGCCAGTCATTCTCCTCTTGGTCCTTTGATGCAGTCCGCATTGGCGCGGGTTGTTTTTTAGCGAGCGTCCAGGTTACTTTCATCCTGGAAGCAGCCAACGTCTCCCCCCGTCCTCCCGCCAGGCTCCTTAGCGGGAAGAGCTGAAGGCTTTCCTGAGACGTGGAGGCCGTGGTATCACCGTACGGGGCAAGATATTCACGTGCGTTCCCCCCTGGCCCTTGGCATTAATCGGTCGCTCAGCTCTCCTGAGACATCTTCTGCGTGTCCCTCCCCGCATGAGACCGCCGGGTGCAGCCTTGCTCAAAGGGGCGCTGCAAATCCCCATTCCCCAGAGCCCATGAGCTTCTTCCACCCGGGAGCTCAGAGGAATCGCCCCTTTGCACGGCTCCGCTTAGGCCTGGATTCAGCCCGTGCCTAAATCCCCTCTGCTTCGAGGCAAGCTCAAGGACGCGCCAAGCTCATCAGCACCTTTGAAAAGGAAGCCACTTCTTTGCCATAACGCGGGCCCTCCTGTCCTCTGCAGCCGCTGTCTGGCCGTGCCCTTGCCTGGGAGGGTGCGAGCCGGACGCTCGGGTTTTATCGGTTTCCTTTTCAAAGCGCTTGGCTTAGTTTCACTCTCGATTCGTTCGTGAGAGCACGGTGTTGTCTCAGGCCTGGTCGAAAGTTGTTTGTTCCCCCGAGACCTCGGAGAAGGAAGTTTTTCTAGATTGGACGGGTTTTTATTCCGCCTTTCCTGCCCCCCCAGGCTCTTGGCAGCGGTTATGTGTTATCAGCCACACGCATATCCTTCCCTCCGCCACCCCCAGCCTCCGCCCACGTGAGCTGCACTCTTGAATAGTTTGGAAATACGCCGCCTTGTTCTGAGCTTACAATTAACCAGCAAACCGGCAGGTAAGTCAAGCCTGGCGCTGACCTTGGACCCCCGGCAAAAGGTGTTGCCGGACGTACGTGAAGCCCCGAAGGCGCTGGTTCTGCACGCACCAAGGACCTTGCTCACTGGCAAGTGTGCCCCGGCTCCCTCCCTCGCACGCTGGGTCCTCTTGCCCGTGTGGTTTTGTATGTGGTCTGCCTCCAGCTGACCCTCGGAGATGAGTTCACAACATCCACCGGCTGGTCTTGGCTCCGTGCCCCCAATGAAAAGGAGCAGCGGGCAGGCAGCTCACGTGTTTTCAAACACCTTGAATGCAAACTTTCGCCAGGCCACCATGTCCGGCTGGGATCCTGCCTTCACCACGAGCCTGTGCTCGAGGCGTCACGCCTGCCTGCAAGGCGGCCAGCCCAGGTGGACACGGGATGCCTTCTTGACCCCTCGGAGCTGGTCAGCCTGTGCCCTGAAGCATGGGGGTGGCTCGCTAAGGCCGGCGGAAACTATTCTGTCCAGCCTTTTGGGAGGGTTTTGGCTGAATGAAATCCCTCCCCAAAGCACTTCTGATCCAAACAAGCTTTGACACAAATAATTATCAATGTCCTGATTAGCCGGAGGATTTTTCAGCACTTTAAAATACTGCCTACCCAGCTGGCGTTAGCCTGACCACCCTCCCCAAGGGGTTACTGTAAGTATTAACCTGTGGAGCTTGTTGTAGCGAGGGGGTCAATTTAATACCCTTTTATTTTAGATGCTATTTATAATGAAAGCCGTGAGCTGGGATAGGGACACCCATCCCCGACCCCTCACGTTTCTGGGCAGGCGCAGCGGTCAGGCAGAGATGACCGCCCGCTGGACAGGCGCGCCGGACGAGCTGTGCTCTGCGGGGCTCTGCCCAGCCCTGGACCATGCCAGCAGATCTGGGGCAGGGTTTCTGGGCGAGGTGTCCAGCCCGATGTTGCACGCTTTAGATGGAGCAGCCGAACATTTGGGGCCCCGAACCCCAGCCCAGCCGGCACGAAAGGTAGCAAGCGCCTGCATTGGCGTGGAAACCTGCCCTCTGTTCCCAGTCCGGGGTGCTTTTGGGAAAGCTTTGCCTCCGACTACGAAACCCTGCAAAGCGAGGCGGGATCATCCTTTGCCCCTGCAGCCCAAGGGGCATTCCCAGCCTGCGGCCCTGAGCAAACTCCCACCCGCCTGCAGCCCCCGGCCCCGCCAGCCTCTCCCCACCTCCCTGCGAGCTCCAGGCTGCTTAGCCTTCAACTCCTATATTTAGTCCAGCCCCCCTGTGCTATTTTGACTGCATGGCAGCCGTGTATAACTGGTCGGGGCCGCCACGCCTCCTTTTCTGCTTTCTCTCCGGCTCGCCTTCGCTCCCTTTCTTTTTCTCCCCTCTGCCCCCCCCTTTCCTGCTAAGCTGTCAGCAACTGCCCCCAAAAGCAGGAACAAAAGTCCCACCGCCCCTTCATGCCCTCGCCCCCCAAGCCCAGATGAAAGCAGAGCCAAAGTCTCCCTTCCGTGAGCGCCTTTCCTGCCTGTTGCTCGCCGTCTCGTCTCGCTTCTCCCCCCCGCTCGCCAAACTTCGGAGAGCTCGGAGCCGGGATTATGGGGCAAGCGGAGGAGCTGGCGCGGATTGCCAAGAAGCTGGATAAGATGGTGTCCAGGAAGAACCTGGTAAGACCCCCCCTTGCTCTGTGTGTGCTTGGGTTTAAACTTTGCAGCCTGGGTGTGCGTGCAGAGGAAAGGAAAAGGGAGAAACTCCAAGCGGGGCCTGGCGGGGAGGGCGGCTCGGTCTGCTTTGCAGCTTGACGGCCTGGAAATGAGAGGTCCCGTGCTCGGGGTGCTTGCAAACCTGCGGCTCAGGTCAGCCCCCCGAAAGGCAGAGCCAGGAGTATTCACCTTGGCGGCGATGGGAAAAGCCTTGTGGTGCCCAGCCGCCGCACGGTGCCCAAAGGATGCTGCTTTCTCCTTCCGCCCGCTTCACCTGGGTTTTGCCGCTTTCCTCGCTGTATTCAGAGTCGAGCAGGACTCTGGGCGCAGGGGAGCCCGTCCTCTCCGTGCATGGGCGAGTCAAGGCGGTCGGGTGCTATTGGAGTCGCCCCTCCACCCCAGCTCCGGGGCCGCCAGGGTTTGGAGAGGGGGGAGCGACAGGTGTTTGGCAGGAGACTGGTCTCGGGCAGGGGCTCGCAGGCCGGAGAGAAGGGCACGGGAGGGAAAGAGGGTTGGAAACAGCTGGGCGTCTTTTCTTTTTTTCACAAGAGCGTGCAAAAGCGCACAGCGGAGCGGGGTGGATCGGAGCATGACCCAGGGCTCTTGCACGTCACGGTGAAGTGGTTTGGACTCAGGGATAAGCAGTCCTTGAGAACAAACAGGACAGGTCTCTCCACCCTCCTGGAGCTCTTTGGGTGCCCTGGGAAAGCAAACAGGTTAGTGCAGGGGGGGCCCAGCCTGCTCCGGCTTCCCGCCCGCCCCCCTGAGGTCCCTGCTGCAGGGGCCAGGCGCTCAGCTGGTGTAAAGGGGCGTCTTTCTGGACTGCAATGGTAATGCCAGCCCAGGATCTGGCCCTTGCAGTCAGGATCAGGATCAGGATCAGGTCCAATGTGCAGCAGAGCAGAGGCAGGTCCTTGAAGTTAATGTTTGACTCTCCTTCTCGTGGCCTTTGTCCCAGTGCAACGCTGTTAACCCTCTGCAGGGCCGCCTGGCATCCACCCCTGCCCTGCCGGGCACCGCTTCCCTCCCCGGGGCGGAGGCACAGGGGAGGGCATCCACCCTGCACACCCATGAGCTCAGCCGCTCCGAGTGCGCGTGTGCGCACGTGTGTTTAAAAAAAAGGGGAAGGAGGTGAACAGCTTCTTTGCAGCACAGAATCGGCCCCGGGGCTGGGTGCCTTGCTGCAGGGGTGCTGGAGCCTCCCCGGGAGCAGCGCGTACATGCAACAAGCAGTCTGCTCTTCCCTGCACCTCGCGCCGTCACGAAATGCCAGCCTTTGGCCTTACTGCTGTCCACAGCCGCCGGCCGCTCGGTCTAGGCACCTCTTGCTCCTTGAGGTCGGTCTGTCCAAACGGAGCGTGTGCTGGGGGAGGCTGCGGGCGGTTTCCAGCTACTGACCGACCACGAGGCCCTCGACCCGCTCCCCAAGAGCAGAAGCCTGGACGTGGCGCATCGTAGGTGCCAGACTTTGCACGTGCGCCTATAAGCCTATCGCAGGTATGCCAGGAGCTCCCCAGGGGCAAACCCCTCGCAGTCCCACAGCCGCAGCTTCACCAGGGGCTGCTTCACGGGCAGAAATCAGAACGGGTTCAAGCAGGACCGGTGCTGACGCACGCCCGCAGCCCGTGTCCACGGCCGGACCTGTTACTTCTCCAGGTGCCACTTCCAGCTCGTGACACCTGTACAGTGGGAAGTTTCCAAAGCCGGAGATCTGATCCCTTGTTCGGAGGAGCGTGCGGAAAAGGGTACGCGGGGAACAACACCGGTCCTTGCCGAATGCCGAGCGCGAGCTTGAATGAGGTTGGGTTGTTGGTCACCTATGAAGCAAGACTGAAAACAAAAGGCAGAGTCACGCATACCTTGCAAAAGAAGCCTTCCCAACCCAGAGCTTAGCCAGTAGTCCTTGACGTGGACGTCGCAAGTGCTGGGAGGCAAAAGCAGAGGTGCCTGCCTGGGGTCCATCGCCCGTCTCTCCAGCTCCATAGCACCCTTGTGTCACCCTAGGTGATGGGAAAGGGTCAAAAGTGTCTTTGCTCATTTTTGCAGGCACTGACACCGGGCCGCAATGGGCCAGCTCTGTTCCCAAACTCTCAGGGGACGGGCATTTCAAGCTGGTGACGTTCAGGCCTCCAGAAAGGGACGTCTTGCAGCATGGGCGGTCTCAGACCTGCTGCTATAGGGTTTCTGCTGGGCTCTGGCACACCCCGAATTAGCCCCCAGCGTGAGTTTGTTGCATGTGGGTTGATGGACGGGAGCAAAACTGCCAACTTTGGAGGGAAATCTTTGTTTGACTGGCCAGGCCCAGGAATGCCAGCTAAGAGGCCTCAGGCTTTCTTCTTTTAACCTCAGGAGCAAGGCAGAGGATTTAACCCAGCTTCAACCATGAGGCACAGCAAGACAGAATGGGGACGATCCCTGGATAACCCCCGAACTTAAATGCTCCCAGGCCCAGGTGCTAGAAGAAACCATCCTGAGAGCGGTGGTCCTTTCAGGGCATGCACCGACTGGGCACTTCGGAGGCCAGGAAATGAACAGCGACTTGGATATCTGGAGCTCTATCGTTTGTGGCTAAATCTGAACTCGTCCTAAAGGGAGTTCGAGAAGCTGGGAGCCGGCGTGGCATGCTCTCCTTCCCGGCAGCCATCTCAAGGACCCAGACCAAAGCAACTCAAAGCACCGGTAGCCCCCTCCATCAACAGGAACAACTCTTGAGTCTATGCCCCCCTCCATCTCCTTGCTGTATTTTGGGGGACCGGTCTCCCCCTTGCACTCAGAGGTGCTGCTGTTAAATCAGGGGTGGGTTTGGCTACCGCCTCTGTCTGGATCCGGCTCTGTAGAGGGGGTCTAGTCCCAGGTGAGGACTAGCAGCTTTCCTGTGCTGCCTCGATGGCCCACCCTTCCTCCTGCCCTGCGCAGGGGCTGGGCCCGATGGCTGAGTGAGGTCCAACTTTCCGACGGCCCTAGGGTCTCCTCCTCGGGCGCGGAGCGGTGTGTCTACGCATGCACACGCACAGACGTGGTCTCTAAAAATACCAGGGGATGAACATTACACTGAGCTGAGCTCTGGGACTATATTTAGCCAGAGGCTAGAGCCAAGCTGCTGCTAGACTGAAGCACCGCTGACGTGCGCTGTCTCCCGGGCCGGGGGCTCGGGAAGCTGGGACCCCGTTTTGTTCCTCCCCTCGCTCCCAGTCCAAGCGAGCGCCAGCCTCCATTTCCCAGGGGAAGGCGAGGCGGGGAAACCAGTGCTCTGGGCTGTCTTGGAAGCTGGGAGTCCCCCTTTCCGGATGGGCCAAATTCGGCTGGCTCTCGGGCGTGACGCTGAGTCCGGCTCTTGGCCCCTGGCAGCCCGCGACGGGCACCTGGCAGCTGTCTCGGCGCTATCGGGCTGCGGCTCGGCGTCAGCTGCTGGCCTGCGGTTTCGGCAGGCGGGCTCCCACCGGAGGCATCCCTCTCCCCTCCGCGGCCCATCTCCCTCCTTGGCTGCCCTTCTGCGGGGAAGGTTCCTGGAGGAAGGAGCGAGCCAGGCCCCTCGTACATGGAGCACAAAAGCCGTCCTTTGTCCTGGCTTCGGGACCTGTAGCTTGCTCCGGCTCCCGGTTCTCCGCGGCCGAAATCCAGGCCTGGACTTGGCGCTTGTGCAAGGGAGCAGGGACCGTTGCAGGAGCGGGACCTTGCAGCTGCCAAGCAGCTGGATCTCCCCGTTTTGGGATGGGCTGGGAAAGCTCCCAGAAACGCGGGAAGGCTGGGCCTGGGCTCTCCCTCACATCTGCCGCTGCGGGCGCTCTCCCTGCATCAGGAAATCCAAAACATGAGCGTTTAAAAGCAAATCTGGGTCAAAATGTGTTTTCTTTTGACTCCTGCCTGCCAGGGAATGCTGTTAACTCTTCCCTTCCCCCTTCCTGCCGACGCGTAATCCTATAGGAACAGCTTCGAGGTGCGCGTGCCCATGGGTGTGCGTGTGTGGACCAGAAGAGGAAGGGGCTGGTTGGCCCCAAAGGGGGGATCTGTTGTTTGACCCTCCAATGCTCATGTATGTGGCTTTTGTCCATGCTAGGAAGGAGCACTTGACCTGCTGAAGGAGCTGAACAGCTACACCATGACCATCCAGCTGCTGCAGGTGAGGCGGATGGGGCGCGGGGGGAGGCATCTAGGGCTCCAGCCGATGAAGGGTTACTTGGATTTGAGGGAAGAGCCAGCCCCCACCTCCCCCTGCTCTTTTAAGCCCTGCACAGGTAGGCTGGCATGGATTAAAGGCATTTTAAAAGCAAGGAGGAGGCTGCTCCCTGGATCGTAGGAAAGCTGAGCCAACCACCCGAGCTTAATACCTCTCAGAGAAAGGCTGGAGAAAATCCCATCCCTTAAAATTCACCCTGCAGTCCCTTGAAAGGCACGGTCCAGCTCTGAAGTGACCGCTCTCGTTGCTGAGCAGGAGACACTGGGGTTTCTGGGCTGACTTCAAAAGCCCGCTCAGGTTGTCGCGCGGCGCGGGGTCTGCGAGATCTCCTGACAAGGGCCCTCCTGGAGCTCCCCCTTCATGCCACCCCCAGCGTGGAGCGGGGCAGTTTGCATCCATCCATCGAGGTTTATGCGGCCCATCTTGCCATACCAGCTGTGGGTCAGACTCCGGTCCAGCTATCAGGCACATAAGGGCACTTGGGCATCCTGCTCCCCCTGCTCAAACTGGCGAAAAGCCGTCGGTGCGAGAAGCTGGGTTGGTCTTTCCTCTCCTCCCTTGCTTTTCGGGGGCTTGGTTGTACGGTTCAGATGATGGCGTGTTGCCGAAGTAGATGGATCTGAGCAGGGTGGGACAGCATCCCAGTTGGGTGCCCGAGTCGGTGTAGATGCTCCCTAGGTAAATCCGTGCTCCTCGTGAGGCTGTCAGTGCTCTGCTGTAGGTGGAGACCGGAGGCGTCGAAGGGCGGAGGACTTCCCCGAGGTTATACAGGGAATGGGCAGCAGGGCGGAAAGCTGACCCCACATCTCTAAGGCCCCGTGCCCTTGCCCCTGCTCCCCTTCCTCCCCACGCAGCCGTCCTCTCCGACGTGCCTTGCACTAACCCGCTGTCCTTGTGCACTCCCAGACCACACGGATCGGCGTGGCTGTCAACTCCATCCGCAAGCACTGCTCCGACGAGGAGGTGGCAGCCCTGGCAAAGCTGCTCATCAAGAACTGGAAGCGGCTGCTGGGTGAGAGACCCCGAAGGCATCTCTGCTTCGAAAGCTGGCCTCCTCCCCCCAGACTTCCTTGGGCGCCCGAGCTGCGAAGTCCCGAACCCCTTTCCAGCCTCTCTGCTCTTGGTCCTCGGGGCTGGACGGAGACCCGTAGTGGCCAGTTTGGGAGGAGGGTCATTTTGTGGCTTACTGAAGTCACGGTTCGGTGCGGCTGGGAGGATGGGTGGAGAGGGTGAGGTCCGCAGACTCCCTGCTGTGCCAGGTCTCAGGCCCACAAACAGGCAGCTCAGCCCCGCGCTGTAGCCCCTCTTCCCTGCACCAGCCCTGACCCTGCACCTCGTCGGCGGTCGTCCTTGATAATCCGGTCCTGGGACTCTGCACAAGTCCTGCCAATGCAGCGCGGACTTGCAGCTCCTGGCTTAGTCCGACCGGGATGAAATCGTTGTCAAGTTGGCCAAGTGTCATGCCCCCTTCTCCTGTGTTAGTCTGGTCACTGATGGCCTGCCTGATTTGCCCGCAGACTCCTCGGGGACCCAGAAGAAAGAGAAGGACGTGGAAGGTCAGAAGGATAAAAAGGAGAAAGAGAAAAGACTCGACTTTTCCAGCTGGCAGCCCGAAGGGGCCGACTCCCGCGGGCTGGAGCCCTGCAAAAGCCCGACCGAGAAGCACAAGAAGAAGCACAAAGAAAGGTATGAGGGTTCATGGTCCTTCTGCGGCTGTCATGGGTGGACTACATGTCCCAGGATGCACCACTTGGAGCATGGAAAGTGGGGCATCATGGGAGTTGCAGTCTGCCCAGGTTGGGGAGCACATAGCGGAGCATGGACGTTTGGGGGGGATGCTCCTTGTTTCCAATGCAAAACCAGAATGGGCGAGCCAAGCGGGCCGCTGTCAGGGGAGCGATGAGCCGTCCCAGACCCCAAATCTCATGTCAGAAGCCATGCTCGGACTGCAGCTTTTCTCCTCCGCCTGCCGCATGACTGGGGTGGGGGAAAGCATCCTGTCTGCTTTACCGGTGTGGACCCCCGATTCACCAGGATGGGGACTAAGGGCCTGGTTGTAGGAGCCTTTGCTTGACGACCCAACCCTGACTGCAGAGGGGGTCCAGACCCCACCTCCATCTCCTGGTCCCTGGCGAGCCAGTGCCAGAGCGCCGATGAGATGCAAGTCTCTTGCGTGCCCTGTTCACCTGGTCCTCACCCCTGTAAGAGCTGAGCATCTGCCTATGAGGCAGGGCTGTGCTAGTCGCCCCATCGCACTGAGATCGAGAAACAAAGTCCTTCCCCCCGGGGCTGCGGAGGAGCACAGACTTGAACCCGGCTCTTTCTAGCCCATGGAAACTGCCTTGACCACAGGAGCTTCCTTCTGCTCTGCAGACTTGGCTGCTTTCCTGTCAAGGCCACCAGGTTTTCTAGCTGCATGCAGTCCCCCTGCAACTCATCCTCTTGATCCAAGGCAAAGTTCCCCCTGAAGTGAGTGGGATTAGGATTTGGCCTTGCTGAAAGATCATCCTTGCATTCAAGAGTCATTTTGCATCTTTTCCTCCTCTTTTAAAGAGACCTGTCTGACCGCAAGGCTCTCGATGCGCTTCCGGGCTCAAAGAAGCATTCATCGGAGCAGAAGCAGGACAGGTAAACGCCCCCCGTACCGCGTGGGCCTGGGCAGGGGGTGAGGGGAAGACACGTTAGCGTAAGCTTCTCCAGTGGGATGGATGTGGTCTCTCCTGGCATGGCCTGCTTTGCACTGTCAACCCAAACCTTCTGCTTTCCCATAAGGCCAACGCAGCCTTTTCTATCCCCAATCCCTCTGTTTCCCAGAGAAGAGCAGCCAGCTCTTCTCAGGACCCCACTTCTCAGACCTCCCCTCTTTCTCTCCAGGAAATCCAGCAAGCCAGGCTCTCACCCGGCGCCCCCAAAGAGCCACTCTGCGGACAGCAAGCACGACAGGTACTGGCTCACGCCCCTGCAAACCCTCCCTTTGGGGCACAGAGCTCAGAGCCACTTTTCAGAGCATCTCGCTGTGTCTGAAGGGTATTGTTTTAAGTGTACTTGTGAACTAAGCTTCATGACGGCCTGTGAGTTACTGAAGTAGCAGGGTCTCTGTTCTGGAGATGGGGAAACTGAGGCACAAGTGTTATGTGGCTATTTCTGGGTCACCGAAAGCCCGCTGAGATCAGTAGACTTCCCGTCGTCTTCGGTGGGCCCTGGATAAAGTCCACAGCTGCAGCTAGGGACAGAAACCCAGGATCCCCCTGATATCCGCACAGGCACGGTTGCCCCTGCGTGAACACACAGCACAGGGGAAGGCAGCTGGACGTGGTCCCTCCTCTTTGTCCCACCCCGTTATCTCATCGGTGCCATGGTTGAGACCCGTTCAGCAATGGGAAGTGATACAGCAGGTTCCCAGGGGCTCGTAATCAGCTACTGAGCACGTGGCGGGGCGAGCAGGAGCTCTCCCTGCTGCAGCACTGTACGTGGGGGCGTCTCGAGCCCCCGGGCTCGGCAGCGGGGAGCGCTCGGCGGGGGCACGTCACTTGCCTCCAGCGCTCGGGAATGGCACTGCAAGGAGGATGGTGTCCTCTGCCGCTACGTGGGCCGGCGCGGTGCAGGAGGACGGACTGGACGGCCGTGCCGGTCACTTTGGGGCTATTCCTGCCCTTTGCGCGTCTCTGCACCACGCGAGGGGAATGCCACGGAGCGGTCAGCATGTGTGCCCAGGCAGCGGCAGGCTGGCCTGATGGACGCTGGCTGTGCACGAGGAATGGGGCTGGGGGCACAGTGCTGGGGGCGTCCCCATAGCTAACGTCTCTCCTCTCTGTTCGCACCGTGCAGAGAGTCCAGCGACTCCAGGGGCTCCTCTGCTGCCTCTAAGAAGTCGCCCTCAGACAGCAAGAAGGAGAGGTGGGTGTTTCCTGGCTTGCTTGTGGCTTCTCCCTGGTGCAGAGGTGTGCCCACCTCAGGAGACCTCCCCTCCCGCACAGAATCACTGACAAGGGGGGTGGAAGGGACCTCAGGAGGTCTCACCTAGTCCAGTCCCCTGCTCCCAGCAGGACCAGCCCCAGCTACATCATCCCGGCCAAGGCTTTGTCTACCCGGGTCTTGAAAACCTCCAAGGAGGGAGAGTCCACCACCTCTCTGGGGAGCCTGGTCCAGTGCTTTACTACCCTCTTTGTGAGAGTTTTTCCTAATATCCAACCTCCACTTCCCTTGCTGCAGCCTGAGCCCATTGCTCCCTGTCCTGTCACCAGCCCCCACTGAGACCAGTCCAGCGCCATCCTCTTTGCAGCCCCCCTGCAGGGAGGTGACGGCTGCTGTCAAATCCCACCTTTGTCTTCTCTTCTGCAGACTAAATCAGCCCAGTTCCCTCGGCCTCTCCTCACCAGTCCTGTCCCCCTGCCCACAACCATTTTCCTTGCCTTCTGCTGGACTCTCTGCAATGTGTCCACATCCTTTCTACAGTGGGGGCCCACAGCTGGACACAGGACTCCAGATGTGGCCTCCCCAGAGCCGAATAGAGGGGAAGAATCACTGCCCTGGATCTGCTGGCATCGCTCCTGCCCATGCAGCCCAGGATGCCGGTAGCCGTCTTGGCACCAAGGGCACAGTGCTGGCTCCTATTGATCTTCTTGTCCCCTGTCCCCCCCAGGTCCTTTTCTGCAGAGCTGCTGCCCAGCCCGTTGCCCCCAGCCTGCACTGGGTCAAGGGGTTGCTCCCTCCTCAGTGCAGGACTTTGCACTTGTCCTTGTCGAACCTCAGGAGATTTCTTTTGGTGCAATTCTCCAACATCTCCCTCCCATCTGATCTGCATGTCCCCCCTCCACGGAACAAGGTGCCCTGGGAGCCAGCTCAGGCACGTGGGCATCTGTCTTGTCATCCATGGCCACTACCTCTCAGCTTCAGGGAGCGTGTCCACCTTAAACCCTTGTTCTCAGTACCGTGTCTTCTCCCCAACTTCTCTTCTAGGAGAGACTCCGCAGACTCAAAATCTTCCAGCAGCACAGCTGCCTCCTCCTCTTCCACCCCTCCAAAGAGGCTGTCGTTGGAAAGGTAGCGCTGCATCTGGTTCTGCTAGCTGCTCACACCGAACCCTGGGGAGATGAGGGTGGCCCCTGGGTGGGCGATGTGAGGATCCAGGGTTTAATTTCCCCTGGCAGAAGTGAATACCTCACTGCCACTGCTACCTGCAATGACTGAAGGGGGCTGCTGGGATCTGAGGGGCCCCCTTGTAGCTCCAAGGTGGGTGGTGTTGCCTGAACCCGGGACAAATTCACAGCCTGGGACAACCCTAATGAAAGGCAATGGGAAGATTCCTATAACTGCGGCAGGGGCTGGGATGGGTGCTTCACGCCGACCGATAACCCATCAGGTGCTCATCCAGCACCGTCTCAGCCTGCTCCAGATCCTGAGACAGAGCCCATCACCCTGCTACCCAGCCCAGGGCAAAGCTGGTGCTGTGGTCACCGGAGCACCTTGCCTGGCGTTGCATTCACTAATGCTTCTCTGTGTTGCAACCCCAGGAGGCCGTCTGCAGGCTCCAGCCCAGTTGCTGCTCGGAAGAGCTCCAGCGATGGCAGAGAGGAGAGGTACAGGAGCGTGGTGATGCCTACTAGCCGTGGCGGAGCTGGAGGGCACGCAGCCTCCGTGGCCCAGTGAGGGAGGGGGTGGATGCCCCGTGCAAGCGAATGCTGTCCACTCTCCATGGCCCAGTAGTGAGAGCAGTGATTCTCAAGGGGTTGAGACTCAAGACACCCCCTTGTTAGACTCAGGGCACCCCCTGGAAAATGCCAGCTCTTAGCTTTCCCTTGGGTAAAACCGCTCTGGACTCGCTGGGTGAATCCCGTGTAGCCGTTTGCAGCCCTAACAGGGATCATGTCATGGGACACCCCTAAAAGGATCTTGCATCAGCCTGGTTGAGAATCACTGAGTCCGAGCACGTGCCTGGAGCTTGAGAGACACGGGTTCAAGTCCCTGCCTCACCACGGACTTGGTCTCTCCATGCTTCTGTGTTGCATGGCTACCGTGAGGGTGAATCCTCCAGAGACAGGGGCTGAGAGCACGCTGGAAGGAGTCGTTATAGCCCCAAAGCAGGAAAGGGGCTGCAGAGGAGGAAGAGGAAGGTCCAAGCAGTATTGCTGTCCCCGTGAGAGATGTGTAGGACCCAGCATGGGTTGGAGGTGTGCATTCAGCCCCTCTTGGCATTGGAGAGTGGGAGCTCTGGGGGCCTTGTGCAGAAGCAGACGGGGGCATGGAAGTAGCCCTGTCCCCTCCATTGAGTTGCACAGGGAAGCTGCTTTGGTAAGCACAGGGAGCCCACCCGATCCAGGCTCATGGGGAAGGGTCCTTGTGTCCTTCTTTGCAGACAGAACAGCAGCAAATCCAAACCGGAGACACCCAAGACACCCACGAGCCCCTCCAGCCCCACGTTCGCCCCTAGCACCTGCCTCCTGGCCCCCTGCTACCTCACAGGAGACTCCATCCGGGACAAGTGCATCGAGATGCTCACAGCTGCCCTGAAGATGGATGGTGAGCGAGCGCTGCAACCACGCGCGGCCCTGCCCTCGTGCCAAACCCGGCAGTGAGGCACCGAGCCCCGCTGCTACCCCTCTCGATGTCCCTGCCTCTGGCATGCTTGAGAGCAGCCATGGGAGAAGCCCTTCGTCTGTGCGATGCCCTCTACCCTGATGGGGTTGGCATGGGTGGCCCATGCCTCTCTGGAGCTTGCCGGGGTGCCAGGGAAGCAGCGTAGACGTGACCCAAAAATAGGAGCTGGATGAGGGCAGCTGTGTTGCTCTCCGAGTGCCGCATCTGGAGAGCAGGTGGCAGCTGAATGGCTTTAGTCCTTGGTTTGGTTGCTCATCCCTGGTGCAAGCACATTGACTTCTGCCACGCCGCCCTTTTACACCTACGTGTCTTATTTGCAGAGACACCGTCACAGTCAGGGGGGCCCAAATGTAACCTGCCAGCTTCTTCCTTGTCCCCGCTGCAAAAGCCGTGTCAGCCGCTCTCTGCATTTCCAATGCAGCAGATTGTGGCTAGTAAGAGCAACCTTACAATAGCAAATCCGTGCGAGTGGGCCAGGGTGCCCGAGTGGGGAAAAAACTGTGGTTAAGTCCAGTTTCCAGCTGACTGGCTAGGAGCATTTTTGTTTAAAAAGTGCTTTGAAGATGCTTTTTCCTCCCCACCGGGATTCTGAGTGTTTCATGCCTCCCCCTCTCCTTAGATGACTACAAGGAGTTTGGCGTCAACTGTGAGAAGATGGCTTCGGAAATGGAAGATCATATCCTTTGCTGCAGGGATGGCGGAGGCTTGGCCCGGGCACGTGGTCCGGCAGCAAAAAGCTCCCACTCGGGTCATTCACGTAGATTCAAATGACGCAGCAGGGGCCCAGGGATGCCAGAAGCCCCGGCTGTGGTCCAGCAGCCGCCTCGATGGCAACACCATCCACCAAATGCCTGCAGAGACCCCCTCCAGCCCTTCGCTGCCCTAGGGAGCGGCCGTCTCCCAAACCGTATCAAGCGGGTGTCTCTTGCAGGGTGCCCAAACCCAGGCTATTTTGCACCCCAATCGCTGCAGGGGACTGCAGCTTTAGGCAACTTGTGCTGTGAGCAGGCACTGCCGCCTGACCAAGTGGGCTCCTGAGCCCCGGCGGATGAGGGGTAATGCCCAACACACTGGTGCAGGTATCCAGAAGTCAGCAAGAGCTTCCCAGCCGCGAGGCTTGGGGTGCTATTGCTTCAGCTCCCCTGGCTGCAAGACATGGCAATTTGCCTGTGCGTTGGCTTGTCATACCAAGGGTCTTTGCAAGCCAGAAGCTTTGGGGAAACCCCAAGTTATTTTCCAGCCTTGTAGGAGCTGGTGCAAAGCAGAGTTAGGGTGGATAAACTGCCAGCCCTCCCCAGGGAGAGGCTGGACCACGCATGTCCTAAGCCCCGCATGAGACCAAAGGGGACTAGATGTCAACACAACTGGGTCCAAACCTGGCCTGGGTTAAATGGAAGTAGCTCTAGGCCCATTTCCCCACAAGCCTGGCATGTCTGGGTCTCTTGAAAAGCTTTCGGGGGGGCTTGCTTGAACCCCAGTGTCCAAACCAAAAGGCGGGGAGCAGGAGCCCTGGGGAACCAGAGGCTGCAGCCCAGCCCGGTGGGGGACACCCAGCCCCTGCAGACGTGCTGTTCCCAGCGGTTCGGCCCACACCCCCGGCTCTTGTTCCTTGACGGGGCCACATATCTTCCAGGAGCTGAAGAGCACAGACATGAAGTACCGCAACCGCGTCCGGAGCAGGATCAGTAACCTGAAGGACCCCAAGAACCCCAACCTGCGGAGGAACGTGTTGTGCGGAGCCATCGTGCCCAGCCTCATTGCTCGGATGACCGCCGAGGTAAAGAGCGGGGTGGGGAAGACCCTGGAGACCGATGCGTGGAGGCGGTGGCTCCGGGAGAGACCAGTTCCTTTCCTGGCATCCCCGATGCAAGCCGGGCAGAGCCTCGCCTCGCGGGGAGGCGACAGTGGACTGCAGGCCAGCAGGTGCTGGTGGCAGGACTGGATGAGCCGTTGCCATCCATGTTGCATCGTGAGAGACCGGCAGAAGCAACTCCCCTGCAAGGGTGGGACAGGGTCCCTGTGTCGGCCAGTCTGGGGGACGCCTGAGGGGCTTCTGATCTGACTCCTGGTGCAGGAAGGGTGGTTGGGCTTGGGGGTCTATAACCCGCGTGCACTGGTGTGAGAGATGGACCCAAGGGAAGATGCTAGAGCACTGCCTCCAGCAATGTCCCTGTTCATCACAGGAGATGGCGAGCGACGAGCTGAAGGAGCTGAGGAACGCCATGACCCAGGAGGCCATCCGGGAGCACCAGATGGCAAAGACGGGTGGCACCGTCACCGACCTCTTCCAGTGCGGCAAGTGCAGGAAGAAGAACTGCACCTACAACCAGGTGACGGGAGTCCTCGGGGCATCGTGTCCGTGCCCTCCTGGCCTGAGCCCCGGCGGGAAGGCAAGCCGCCTCTCCTATGCGTGGTCCCTGCTGACTGCGGCGCTGTTTCCTCCTCAGGTCCAGACCCGCAGCGCGGACGAGCCCATGACGACCTTTGTGCTGTGTAACGAGTGCGGGAACCGCTGGAAGGTCAGTCCCCACTGCTCCCCCTTGATGGGAGCGCACGGCAATTGCTTTATAGTTTCATAGTTTCTGGGGTCGGAAGGGACCTGAGTAGATCGTCTTTAGATCAAGGCCAGGCAACCTCTGCCAGCCGTGGGCCAGAATGACCCATCGAGGAGCGGGGGCCAGGACCGCTGTCCCCGCGGCAGCACAAAGAAATCGCCCATAGCCAGATCCCTCTGCTGATGAAAACCTACATCTCAGCCTGGATCCAGAGGTGCCACGGGCCAGATCCAGCCCATGGGCCATAAGCTGCCACCTCCTGCACTGGGCGGCAGCATCCGTGGCACCCACACCCACCGTGGGCTCTACACCACCGTGCCCGCTTCTCCCCTACGTGGTCCATGTGTTGCAGACAGTGCAGGGCCTTCATGCCACCGTCCTGCAGAAGTCCACTGCTCATCCCCCGACCGTGAGCCCCCTTTCCCCGTGTAGGACGTGCTCTAAAACGCCGGGCCCGTTTCCATCGCATGCTCTTGGCTTCTCCGTCTGAGAGCCTAAAAATACAACAGCATTTGCCCTTCTGCATTTCCAAACCGGCCTGCGTGAAGCTTGGCATGGTTCATGCATCAGTCAAGCAGCTGCCTCTGGCCCCAGCGGGACAGGAGCCGCTAACATCTTGCTTCTCGTGTGGGCTTGCTTGTCTTCCAGTTCTGCTGACGGCGCTCGCCTTTGCCTGCGAGCGACGAGTAGAGAAGATCGCGCCTGACCGCCAAGGAGAGCGCAGCGCCTGGGACTTGTTCCTTCGGGGCTGCCCCCGCGGGCCTCGGGGCCAGGAGGCTCGAGGCAAGGGTGCCGCCTGCTAGAAGACTGCTTTTTGGCTGTACATACTTTGAACGGCGCCGTCCCTTGGGAGGGCCTCTTAGACCCTTGTAGCGCGGCTCCGGGAAAGGAGCACGTGCGTGGAGCGTGACCACGGCGAAGGCGAGGGCGCCGAGGGCTTTGGGGTGTTTTTCCTGCCATCCTTGACCTCACCGAAAAGAGCCTCGTGGGGTCCGGGCCTGCCACTTATGCTCTTCTTGTTCGTTTCCAAGCTTGAGCTGAGCCCTGTTTTATTGTTAGGAGCTGGATACACCCTGACTTCCAGCTGTGTAGGACAATGCACGCGGGGAAAGCAAATTCCCTTGAGATACGTGGGGGGGTGTTGCTAACCCAAGCTCCAGGGAATTTTTGTTTTCAGTGGCCCAGTCTTCCCCGTCCCAGGGACTTGTGCTTGTTTCCCAGAGTCATCCTGGGTAAGGGAAGCAAGCGTTTCACCTCCTGCCCTGCCTCCGGCTAGGAATAAGCAAAATCTTCCACGACTGCAGCAGATGTCTTGTCTAGCATGAGCCACCCGGGGGCACTGACAGCACGTCACAGCCGGCCCCTCAATGCAGCGGCTGAGATGGGCGGGGGCTTTCCCCGGGTTCGGCTGCTCCAGCCCTGGGGGTCGAGCCCCTGACTTCTGCTCCAACGAGCCGACGATGGGTACCGAATGCCAGGAGATGTGGTTCCAGCTCTGGGATGCCACGAGAAGAAGCCGGCTCTGCACCAGTGCAGGGCACTGTGCAAGGCAACCTGCCCCGCAGCCGTGCAGGGAATGACCCTTGCGTGCCAGCCCCCGTGGGTGCTCCAGATGACACCCCCGTTGCATGCTGCTCCCTCTCCCTTTGCCACGACCTAGGGCTGCAGGGGGGACTTGCCCCCACTCCCAGCCTGGTGACAACAGCTCTGCAGGGGAGGCAGCCTGCAAAACCTTGTCTGCAAAGGGGTGTCTACAGGTGTGGGGGGGAGATGCCAGTCTGCCCGTGGGAGGCGCGTGCCGGAGGGCAACCCTAGCCATCCGCTGCAAAGCTCCACTTGCTAACGTAGGCTGGATTGAAGCACAAAGCTTGTAAACCGGGAAGGAGGGACTGGCCTTTGCTCTGCCTCGCCACCACCGCTCCAGTCCAGGGCACTGGGAATACCCCGGCCTCTGTGGGACAGCGCAGCGATCCTGGTCGCATTCAACACACCCTCTTTCTGCACAAAACGGGTGCCAAGTCAGGCTTAAATACCCATGTTGGTGGGTATCTTTGTCCCAGCGGTGATGGGATGTAAAATGAAATAAGCATTGTCCCTGCTTCCTGGGACTGCAGCACCCCCTCCCCTTAGCCGCTCAGATGCTCTTTGTTGTAAATAATCGCACCCCTTCGTTGTGGTTGCCTTTGCATATCCTAATGGAGGAAGGGAAGACCCCAGGAGAGCCGGGTAAGGAGCAGAAACCACACGGAGGTGGGAAGAGGGCTGACCCTAATGGGGGGAGACCAGAGCTGCCACCCCTTCCGTTCTCAGGCCTTGCATGCCGGCTCGCCTTCCTCCTCCTCTCTCCATCAGCCAGCTGCCCCCTCCCGTGTGCTGCGTGTGGACTTCCTCCAACTATATCCTGGGGGGAAAAACGAGGGAGAAAATCTTTAGCCTTCGAGCAATAAAAGTGTACCAAGCACCCACTGGCTGTCTCGAGTATTTTCCCTTCTGGAAGATGGCACGCTGGATCCGCGTGTGCAGCTCCGTGGTGCTGTTGGGGAAGGGGGCGGTGGTGCTTCTCCAGTCTCCTCTGGCAATAATCCACATTATCAGTGTCTGCTGAACAGCAGTGAACATGCGGGTCTGGGTAAGAGCCCGGGATTGCATTTGACAGGCAAGTCCAGGCACAGCCTGGGATCTGCAATCAAGTCCAGCATTTTCCAGCTGGTTTGATGCCTGGGAGGGAGCATTAGTGCCAAGGCTGGGTTGTTTGGGGCTAAGATAGAAAGATGAACATGCTAATCCTTTCCACACATAAACTCCCAGGTAGCTATAGAGATGTATTCATTAAAAAAAAGAGAGAAAAACATCCAAACCAAGTAGACCCCTGTTACTTTCCTCTCTGCTAGCGTGGAGGGGTTAAAGTCTGTCAAAATGAGGTAGTTAAGAGAGGGTCATTCATACCTCGATGGGTGCAACTGGGAGCAACTTGGCCATCCAGTGCTCAAGGAGTAACGATCTCAAGTTGCAGGAAGGGAAGTTTTAGGTTAGATATTAGGAAAAACTTTCTCCTGTAGTGAAGAACTGGAACAGGCCCCCCCAGAGAGGTGGGGGAGTCTCCATCCTTGGAGGTTTTTAAGACCCAGGTGGACAAAGCCTTGTCTGGGATGATGTAGTTGGGGCTGGCACTGTTTGGAGCAGGGGGTTGGACGAGACGTGACCTCCCGAGCTCCTTTCCAGCCTGAATTTTCTATCAAGAGTGACAAGCAGCCTCTGTGTTAGCTCCCAACAGGTCCAGGGATGCACAGCCAAAGCCTGTGGCACGCAGAACAAGCACTCACCTTGGAGCAGGCAGCCCTAGCACCGGGGGCTAGCAAAGCTGCCTCTGTGGCTAGCAAAGCTGGTACCTGATTTAAAACAAAAATAGGCATCTCCCTTAGAGATGTCATTTTGCAGTCCCTGCATCGCGCCGACGTCTCCAGCCACTAACAGCAAATGAAATAATCCTCCAAACAAAATCTGTTTTCCCTTTGCGGGAAGCTTGGAAGTGCTGTGGATGGGGAAGGGGGGGTGGGGGAGAGCTGAGCTTAGCAACCTGGAAAAAGAGCAAACTCCTCAAAGATAAATGTCCAACACCCGGTGGACCTCACTGGACTCTGCTGACTTGGAGGGAGACAGCAAAAATGGCCAGTTCAGCGGTGCGAAGAAACTGCTGAAATTGTGACTCGCCGCCTGGTTTCTTGTCACGCTAACAAAACCTGTGCCTCTCGCCTCGCACGCCGTCTGCTTTTTTAGAGCCCCTATTTCACGTCTCTGCCGGGGCTGGAAGCACAACGCTGTATTTCCGCCTCTCTTCGGATGTAAATCCCTACAACCCAGCAGAAGTCCTGTCGGGTCGCTAGCTTTTTAGACAGACACGGGCAAGTTCGAGTTCGCTGCCCAGATGTCCTCTTCTCCTCCGCCCGCCCTCAAGAAAGGTGGAACCGAGACCGTCCGCAGGCACTGTCCCGTCTGCCACGTGGCAGGACGGCAAAGGAGCAAGCCGTACCCCGCAAATCGCGTGCACGCGTGGCGGCTCGGTTACATGTTGCAAGGCCTGGTGCAGCGGCGAGCTCAGGACCCCGGGGTAGGAGGCTCTGTGCACGAGGACGTCGACTTGAGCCCAGGCCTCACGGAGCATGCGAGCAGCAGGCGTCCCCGGGGGGCTGCCGGTGGTCTCGTGCACGGCAGGAGAGGGGCAAAGCCCGTTCACCGAGCGGCCAGGACTCGTCTCGGAGGAGCCGTCGGGGACGTCCAGCCTTTCCAGAGGGCAGTCCTGGCCTTTGGAGGGCACCGCTGCAAACAGCTCCGAAGCCCCTCGTGCCACTTTGGCTCCAGGTCTCCAGGCCTAGTGGTTATAGCAAAGAGCGAGCCAGGCAGAAGGGGACAGAGGCAGGTCTACAACCACGGCGACAGGAAAGCTGGCGGGGTGAGTGCCGCGGGACAACTTGCTTCAAGCAGGTCTCGCTGCCCGGGTATAACCACTGCAAGCCGAAGACGCTCTGCGTGGCCCAGCCCCTCCGTGCATGGGAGCGCCCTGTACTTCTTCCCCTGGGGGCTGGAGAAGGAGCGAGGATGGAGGCCCTTAACATCTCCGTCCGGCTCAGCTGCTACGGACCTGCCTCCTTCGGTGACCAGATGGAGATGTAATCCCGGCAGATCGTGGCTGTGTCACAGACCCGCTCTGGGCTCTGCTCTGTCCCGAGGTCCTCGCAGGCGAGAGATGCTCATGCTGCGCCCCATCTGCAGGACCCCCGCGACGACGTGCCGGCCGCTCGGGCTCTCCAGAGCGTGGTCGGACGAGCACTTCTAGCACGAGGCTGCGAGATGAGGGCGGGGCAAATGCGCACCCTGGACCCCAAAATATACCCTCCCCAGCTCACCCGCACTCGGGGATCGATGCTAGCGGGAGGTGGGGCTGAGCCCCGCTCTTTGAACGGGAGGCGAGCCCTCGCCAGGCCCCGCGGGTGCTGATGCGGAGCATCCCATAGGAGTCAGGCCTAGGGACTGGGGGTTTCCTGCTCCTCCAGCTCTGGACCCCGCCATACCTCCTCCCCAGCTCAGGAGACAACACGATGCATTGCAGACGGCGCTCCCCCCCCAACCTTTCCTTTAGGCTGGGAGGAACCTGCAGCCGGGTCGTGCTGCAGGCTTTGCACCCAAGCTCGTCTCTCGGTCTCTTCCTCAGCCAACTCCCGGGACGGACGGGCGGAGAGTTTGCAAGTGAGAGCAGCAGGTGGGACTGAGCCCTGCACCCGGTTCCCAGGCGAAGCAAGTGCCAAGGAGGCTCCAACGAGAAGGGAAAGATGGGTTTTCTCCACTGATAACTTGGGTGCTCTCTGATGCCCACCTTGCCTGTATCACCCGACACATCCGAGGGGAGACGAGATGCAGAGCTGTGAAGCCGAGTGCCTGGCCCTGTCAACAAGGAGCTGCAGACAGAAGTACCTGGAGCACGGCCCTGCTGCAGCCCCGGCAGAAGGGACCGGGGTTGGGACCGCAGCAGGACGCTGGGTCCCCGGAGGCACTGCTGGTCTCAGACGGCCTTCCCAGAGGGGCTGGGCTCCGTCGCCTGGCAAGGAAAGGAAAGCAAGGCTGCAGAAGATCCCCCACCCGAGGGATCACAGTAGCACAGAGCCAGAGATCTAGGATGATCTAGGCCAACGGTGTGGACCGCTGGTCTCAGACGCCGAGGAGGGCGAATGGCACAGCAGTGCCACAGGTGGGTTGAAAAAGCAGGAGGCTTGCAAAGCACGCCTCGCGGGGCTCTGCCCTTGGCCCCCGGGTGCTGAGCCAGCACACCCGAACGGGGGCCCGGCGGCGCCGGTCCAGTAAGCCGTCTCCCGTGGCGGCAGGAATGGGACAGCATCCGAACAGGGAAGAGCAAGCGCGATCTGTTTTACCCTCCCTGACATCTGCCATCGCAGGTTTAGAGCAGCGGTTCTTGACCCGGCGTGACTCCCGGCACCCCTTGGGAGACTCGAGGCACCAGTGGAAATGTCATCTCTGTTTCCACTCTGGTTTGGACTGCAGAAAGATCCTAGAGCAATTCTTCCATTGCAGAGACTGCCAAAAGCCCCAGATAGGTCAGAACGTATTTAACACAGTGGGCTCTTATTTGCAATCTCTGGATTTATTTTGTGAGTCACTTTACCGTGCTAATGTTGCGTGGCACCCCGCGGCACCCTTGAGAGGATCTCAAGGCACCCCAGGGTGCCATGGCACCGTGCCTGAGGATTGCTGGGTCAGAAATAAGGTTTCCCAGAGTGGCGAGCAACTTGCTTTTTGACAACCCCAATGCTGCCCTTCTCACATCATCCCAGGACTCCTGATGCTGGGGATTGAAGGGGAACAACCGTGGTGTGAGCTGGCAGCACAGCTGCCCCCCTTGCCTTGGACCACCTTGCTGGGAGACCAGCAATCACCGAATCGTAACCGTGCTGCCAAAAATGTCGCTCCAAAACTCCCCGGGGCCCAATAGACCTCCCTCCCTCCCACCCCCCATCTCTCCGTCTGGATCTGCAGGTGAAGCCCGGCACGCAGCTTGTGCGTTCGTTAAGTAATAACCATGATTAATCACAGCCCTCCCGCCACATCGCCCGCTGTTCTGATGCATCGATCTCCCCGTCTGCCTCGCAGAGCGGCCGCGCTAGCCTCCAGCCGTCTTCGCCGCCTGCCAATTCAGGTGCAAACCTCTCGCGCTTCGATGAGATGGGCCCTTGTCACGGGCACTCGGCAAAAGGCCCATCGCCCGAGGCTGCTGGGAGGGAGGCCTGGCGAACAGATGTATTATTATAATGTAGCTGTGTGGCTGTGGCACGGAGAAGCCCCAGCCCTGGAGGAGGACCTCGCCGCGCTAGGTGCTGTACAGACCGGACAAAAAGCCAGTCCCCACTCTAAGCTAGTGTAAAAGCTTCGTATGGGGCCAGTGGGAACGTTACTACCCTCTGGGCAGCGTCCAGGCTGCTTTTTAGCTAGAAAAGCAGGGTTTTCAATGTCCAGATCACTCTTGGGAAGGAAAACCCTTGGGGCCAAATTCCTCTCTGGCACCACGGCACTGGCAAGGAGTGACCACAGCAACCCTCTGCTTTGGGGAGGGAAGCTGGAAGAGGTTGGAGACAAATCCCTGGAAGGCATCCCATCCACTCCAGCTGGGGCTGAAGGTAAGTTGGGGAAGTGAAGGGCAGGGCAGGAGCTGGCTCGGGACCCTAAGGACCCCATGCTGGGCAAAAAGGTTGTGGTCTCGAAGTTCCCACAACTTTCGGAGATTTGGACGGGGTGACCATGAGGCTCCCACTGCCAATGCCTTCCCCAAAGGGCAGTGCAGAGGCTCCTGGGGAGCACCCCCCCAGCAAGACACTGCCTGCTCTGTGCACCAGCTGGGCTGTCTTCGTTGCTGCCTGGCCACAGCCATCAGATGGGGCTCGTGGAGCGTGCAATGCA